CCCACCACAATCACCACACTGTTATCCCTGTCCATGAATTTTTTTTTTTCTTTTTTGCTCAATTCCTCCACCACCATCCAACTCAGCCACCCAACCACACCCACCATGAGATTTTTCTAATGGATTGTCTTTTTCTTATTGATTCATAGGAGATATTTACAAATTCCACACACTAGCCCTTTGTCCAATTACAAGTATTGCAAATACTTCCTTGCAGGTTGAGGTTGCATTTTCACTCTTGGAGTACTTTTATGAACAGGTCTTAATGCAGTCAAATCTATTAACTTTTTCTAAATTAGTGTGTGTAAAATTTTGAAACCGTGTCTGGCACACATTGTTTATTGTGACTTATTTTCCTTTATCATGGGACCTTTTTGTGCCTATTTAATGAATGGAGACTTGATTTGAGGTGGTGAACACACAATACAATGTACAGATGATGTGTTGTAGAACTGGGTACCTGAAACCTGTATAATTTTGTTAACTGGTGTCACACCAATAAATTTAAAGAATAAAAAAAATTTTTTTAAATCCTTTTCTACCCCATTTTCCTAATGTCTTCAAAATGTTTCAGATATTAGCCCTTCACATATAAATTTTAAATCTACCTGGAATGGATTTTTTGTATAATGGCTTTATTTAGATACAATTCATATACCATAAAATTCACCCTTCCAAAGTACACAATTCAGTGTTCACCTCCATCTAATTCCAGAACATTTTCATAACCCCCAAAAAGAAACACCACAGGCCTTGACTTTAATATATGGCATATATATAACCAATGCTCCGGCACCAATTCTATCCTCAGTGATTTGCATATGTCACAAATCTTGTTTTTATATCAACATGGATTTGTTAGACCTCTCTATTCAATTCCATTGGTCTATTTGTTTATTCCTGCACTAATATATGCTATCTTATTGACTATTAAAAGCAAGTTCTAGCCCTGGCTGGTTTGGCTCAGCAGCTAGAGCGTTGGCCTGCGGACCAGAGTCCTGGGTTCAGTTCTGGTGAGGGCATGTATCTCTGTTGCAGTTTGTCCCCGCTCTGGTTGGGGTCGCGTGGGTGGCAGCCAGTTGCTGTGTCTCTCTCATATCAATGTTTCTCTCTCTCTTCCCCCCTCTCTCCCTTCCGCTCTATCTGAAGATAAATGCAAAAATGTCCTCGGGTGAGGATTAAAAAAAAAAGCAAGCTCTATCATTCTATCTTTCCTCAGAAGTATCTATTTTTCTATTGATACTTAATACTTCTACATAAATTTTTAGAAATAACTTGTCAATTTCCAGAGAAATCCCATTTGGAAACTTAAATTGTGTTAATCTATTTTCCTATTGAGGAAAATTGACAGTTAAAATCTTGACTCTTGCCCTGGCCAGTTTGGCTCAGCAGTTAGAGTGTCAGTCTGTGGTCCAGAGAGACCTGGGTTTGGTTCCCGCTAGGGGCACGTGCCTCGGTTGCAGTTTGTCCCCGGCTCTGGTTGGTCGTGCGGGTGGCAGCCACTTGATGTGTCCCTTTCACGTCGATGTTTCTCTCTCTCTCTCTCTCTCTCTTCCTCTCCCTCCCTCCCACTCTATCTGAACAAAAAATGGAAAAATGTCCTCAGCTGAGGATAAAACAAAACAAAAAAAATCTTGATCTTCTGTTCCATAAAGATGGTATTACTCTCCATTTATTTAGGTTTTAAAAAAATGTTTGTTTTATAACTTTAAAATTTTTTGTTCTCTTTCTCCCTAAATGTCTAACATTTTTATTACATTAATTTCTTAAAACATCATTTATTTATGCTATTGAAAATGTTGCTTTTAAAAGTACTTGTTTTCTACCATTTTGTTGCTAGCATGTGGCAATCGCTTTTATGTCCAAAGACCCTTTCAAAATATATCTGTGGTATCTTTTTTTTTTTAATATTTTTTTCAGATAGAGTGGGAGGGAGAGAGAGAGAGAGAAGTAACATCGACGTGAAAGGGACACATCGAATAGTTGCCACCCATACAACCCAACCAGGGCCAGGGACAAACTGCAACTGAGGTACATGCCCTTAGCGGGAACTGAACCCGGGTCTCTCAGGACCACAGGCTGACGCTCTAACCGCTGAGCCAAACCGGCCAGGGCTATCTGTGGTATCTTATTGCTTTTTCTCTCCTGGTAATTATTTCATCTTTAAAGAATAGAAATGTTATTTTTTCCCTATCTTAGTTTTTCTTTCTCATGCTTAAACGTATTGCTTAGGACTATAGGCACAAAATGAGTTACCCGTGCTTTTAGTCCACACCTTGTCTCGTTCCCAGCCTTAAAGGGAATGCACTTGACCTTTCAATGTCCTGTTTACTATATTCTGTAAGACAGCCTTTATAGTTAAAATAGTCCTTTCTGCTTCTCCTTTGCCAAGTCTTTTCATAAGCACATGTTGAATTTTATCAAATGCTTTTCCTGCATCAAGTTAGATAATCATGATTCTGATTTTAATCTATTAATGTAACAAACTACATCACTTTTTAAAATCAAAGAGTCAAATAATTGTAAAATATATCATTGTCTTGTGCTCCAAGAAGGAAAAAACAGCTTCCTGTTGAATATTTCAATTTAAGATATGGTAAAAAAAAAAAAAAAATGAGCCCTGGCTCGTTTGGCTCAGTGGTTAGAGCGTCGGCCTGCGGTCCAGACCCGGGTTTGGTTCCCGCTAAGGGCGCATACCTCGGTTGCAGTTTGTCCCCAGCCCTGGTTGGTCGTGTGGGTGGCAGCCACTTGATGTGTCCTTTTCATGTCGATGTTTTTTTCTCTCTCTCTTCCTCTCTCTCCCTCCCACTCTACCTGAACAAAAAATGGAAAAATGTCCTCAGGTGAGGATTAAAAACAAACAAACAAACAAAAAAACGGGCACCTTTGAATTGATAAAAATACAAAGTAATTTATAAAAATAAAATTGCCATGTATTCCTGGGATTAAACATAGATTTATTGTGATGTATTCAATTTTTTTTAACCTGTTAATATTTTTGTATGTTCATGAGTGAGATTGGCTGTTAATTTTCATTTTTGTACTGTCAGATTTTGGTAGTGAGCTTTATCTATTTTGTGTAAAATTGGATTTTTTTCCCCTGAATGTTTAGTAAAACTACTAAGACTATCTAGGCTTGGCACTTCAATGGGGGGGGGAAGAGTTTTGACTAGTGATTGAATTTCTTTAAAGGTTAAAGGACCATGATTTATATATTTTCTTGAGCCTATTTGTTATTTCTAGGAATTTTTCCTTTCACCAAAATTTTCAATTACTGGCAAGAAATTTTAACCAAATTTTCTCAATATTTAAAAATCAATGCATATGACATTTTCTTGAATTCTTCATATTGTTTATTTATGCCATCTTTCTTCTCTCCTTGATCCAGCTTGTCTAAGTGGCCAATTTTATTACTCTTGATCCCCAGCTTCAGTCTTTCCTAATTCTCTCATGGTATGGTTTTCTTTTCAATTTCTTCTTTTGGCTTATTTCTTTCCTTTTCTTTCAGGTGAAATTTTTTTTTTTTTTTTTATCCTCACCCGAGGATATTTTTCCATTTTCTTTTTATACAGATAGAGTGGGAGGGAGGGAGAGGAAGGGAGAGAGAGAGAAACATCGATGTGAAGGGACACATCGAGTGGCTGCCACCCGCACAACCAACCAGGGCCGGGGACAAACTGCAACCGAAGTACGTGCCCTTAGCGGGAACCGAACCCGGGTCTCTCCGGACCGCAGGCCGACGCTCTAACCGCTGAGCCAAACTGGCCAGGGCTCAGGTGAAATTTTAACAAAATTTTCAACTTTGTTTTTTTCTAACATAAGCAAAAAAATGTTTGCATTTTCTGCTAAATGCTGTCTTAGCACAATTCCAGAAGTCTCTATACATATATAGTTTGCTTACATTAAGTTCTGAATTATACCTATTATGATTTCCCTTTGACCTGAGTTATTTGTCTCTTAAGTGTTGGGTTTGTAATATTCACCTTTAATAATTTTACCCTGTATGTACACACAAGATGTGCTGAATCAGAGACAGATTTACTTCAAGGTAAGTAAGTTCCTCTGCTCCCTTTGCCCCAGCCTTAGCCCTGGGGCTATGTGATAAGTCATGAGATTTTTTCCTATACAAGTAAGGAAAGTGTCAAATAAAGACAAATCCAGATGTAGGAACAAAAAGACTATTTGAAAAACTGTTGCAATAGTGGCAGGAAGACTACAGCAATAGGAAGAATACCGATCTGCATTCTGGAACACATTTTACCTCTAGCTCTCTATGGAGATAATCAGATTCAAGGAGATCCAAGAGCTGGATGAGTAATCATACCTGATAATGCTGACACAAATGTTAGCAATAACAAACTAAGTTGCAAAAGAGAAAATCATATTGAAGTAACTGATGGAGTAGAAGTATGTTCTGGTTAGCTTACAAAGCAGCAATAAACTTTGAGAGTTTACCAAGATCAGAAGCCAGAACCTTCAGGTAAATAAAAAGAATGAGAAGGAATCAATAACTCAGGAAATATACTTCATTGCTGAAATTAAGGGGAAGAATGAAAAGAAGCAGGTAAAAAGTTATAGGAGAAAAATAGTTAGAATGAAGAAAAATTCTCACAATAGTATGAAAATTCCATAGACAGAGAAGAGGCTCTCCTAGTAGAAACAAGTACAGAGATGAACTTGAGTAGGTTTAAGGTTCTGGAAAATGAGGAAAGTTTCCATAAAAGTGACCTAATTTCTTGTCCAGCCACACTAATTCTCTGTTTCTTAAAAGCAATAGTGTTTCAAAAACTTTCCTTACTCAAGCTCCAAATTTGTACAATGTAACCTCTAAAGAGGCAGAAGGACACTGACATAACTTGAAATGCCCCATATCTCTGCACTTATCACCTCTCCTCTGGCTTGAGGGATGTTTTTATTTGTAAAGACTATAGAAATACGATAAAAACAAAGATAGAAATTATGTCACAATAGAATTTTATAGTATATGTGTTTAATTAAATTATAAACATTAATGCAATAGCTGCCTCAATTTCATTCAGATAATAAAAAATGATGGTATAATGATAGTTTAAAGCTGGTTCAATCACAATTTTACAAGCTAATTTATCAAGAGTGAAAATAGAAGACTATTAAAAATAGCTAAAAAGATAACGTGTTATAGTGCTTAATTTTCAGTAACTGTTGGTAAGGCTTACATCTGAATCTGATGCAGAATTCTTAATGGCATTGAAACAGTTCTTTTCTCAGCCACATGGTATATATGGGTACTATGAGTCTGGAAGAGACTGGCTATGGGTACCACTTCTTGTCTTCAGCTGTGACTGCGCAATGTCAGCAAGTGCACTTTGTATCTTTTCCAGAAGCATGTCCCCTCGATAAACAACATCCTCCAGACATGTAGCAGCTTCGTGGTTTTCTTCTTCTAGCTTATACAAGCTAGCAGCCTTTATAAGACACAAATTTAAAAATCTTTTAAGAAATGAAAAACTTGGGGATTAATAAGAGCTGAGAAGGAAAGAAACTGCAGAGATATTTACTTTTAAACCTGGATGACTATGCAACCACTGTGATTCAGCTTTCAGTAGCAAAAATTCTAGAATCAGGGAGCTATCAAAAGTTTTCCCTGTATGAATTATTTAAAACAATTAATTTTTAATTAGAGAGCTCTGGATATCCATATGTGACTCCCTTCCACACTGCTTTTGGACACTACTATTCTACTCTACGTCCAGAATGCCACCCTCCTCTCATTCTTTGCTAGGTAAAGAGCCAAACTGAGAAAAATAAGAGTCCTTATCACTCGAAATATATATATTCAGAGCAGTCTTTAATGGACTACACTAATTCACAATGAATGAAACTCCCACTTTAAAATTTAATCTTAAACTTTAAATATTATAACAAACGGTATTAAATCTATCTCCTTTAATTAAAAATTCCTGATTAGCAAAGTACTCAAAGGAAAAGAGATTTTTACCTGTAATGCAGCTGTAGATTCTTCACTTGGCAAGGAATCTATCAAAACATCAATGTCTTTTGCTGTTCGTGCAATCAGTGCGGCAAAAAGCTGGGCATATTCTAGAGAAAGATACTATTATTTTAGAATATTAGAGAAGCTCAAGTTTCCAGAAACAAATTAATGAAAACAGAAAACTTTATATAACTCTTTTTATACTAGGCTTCTAATGATTAAAGCGTAATTTTAACACATCAATCCTATTATATGTTTGAGAATTACCCTTAATATTAACTCAAATTGGGAATTAATCATAATACATATCCCTTACTAGGACAATATATGGTGATTTGAATCCTTCCTTATTAAGATCCCAGAAGTAAAATTCATTTAATTCATACAAATTTTCTTCTAAGGGAGTAACAATCTGTTATTTCACATAAACAGAATTATGACATGTTATGTCAAATCGACTATAACATACTAATTTACTACAACATACTAATTTATGATAAAGCTTGCAATAATATTCTCAAACAACATTTTTTGAAAGACACAAATAAGCTAAATTTCTCAATAAATCTAATTTTAAAAGATTACAAGTAATATGAGAGTCAAACTAAGAGAAGCCAAGAAAAACTGATTTACCTTCTGTAGGATTAGCAGGCTGATCTTTGTTAATTGCTGTCTGAATATTACTAAAAGAGGCAGGAGGACCACACTGCTGCAACACTCCAATGGCATTACAAAACTGATCTGCAAGCTTGAGCCCAAAGAAAACATGTCAAAGTTAGAAAGGATTTATCAAGTTTAAGGATTTTATTGGTAATGCAAGAACAATAAAAACTAACCAGTTAATAACAGAAATTAAATGTTGTAACCATTCACAGAAATTAGGCTTGGTACCAATCTACTTAAAATAGCTGAAAAGAAATACAAAATAAATTTTCTTTTCTTCCTGACGTAATAGATGATAAGAGAAATATATACCAGTACTTGTTGCAAGCAAGGACTTTTTTTGAGTAGTAATGAGAAAAAGCAAATTTGATTGGCAAATATCTAAGTATGGTTCCAGGGTAAATGAAAAAGTATGTACAACTCACATGTACAAAGTATTGATCCTTTTTTTGTAGACAGTAGTTACAAGTCTAAAGAAATAGTGGGAAAAAGATAACACCTAAATATTTAGAAGCATTTTTCTTCATGACTCGAGTTTTCAAACTCCTGGTGCTCTAAATGTTTTCCTTAAGCAGTTTTGAAGATTTAGAATATGAATTCTTTACCAGCTCCAAACTCCTAGCCTCCCCACCAACTTCTATCAATAGTCTGGACCTCTCAAATCTCAGTTCCTTATTTCCATTCAGTGAATAAGCATTTCCACTAAATTTCTCTGCCATTATTTGAATGACAGAACTCCAAGTCAACTATTTCCTTTGTTTAACATCTAATTTGTAAGCCAGTTAGAGAAAGATAAATATCACATGATCTCACTTATAAGTGGAAACTAAAGAACAAAACAAACTGACGAACAAAACAGGTATGGATGCATGGAACAGAATAACAGATCTGGAGGAAAGGGTGTTAGGGGTAAGGGGACAGGAAGAGATTAACCAAAGACTATGTATGCATATATACATAACCCATGGACACAGACAATAGCATGAGGAAAGCCTGGGGTAGGGTAGGAGTTGGGTGGAGGGGGGCAAAAGGGAGAAAATAGGAGACATCTGTAATACTGTCAACAATAAAGTAAAATACAATTTTTTTTTTGTTGTTCAGATAGAGTGGGAGGGAGGGAGGGAGAGAGAGAGAGAGAGAGAGAGAAACATCGACGTGAAAGGGACACATCAAGTGGCTGCCACCCGTAGGACCAACCAGGGCCAGGGACAAACTGCAACCAAGGTACATGCCCTTAGCGGGCACGGAACCTGGGTCTCTCTGGACCTCAGGCTGACGCTCTAACTGCTGAGCCAAACTGGCCAGGGCTAAAATAAAAAAAATTTTTTAAAACATCTAATTTGTATTGAGATTCTCCTAGTCAACCTGTACAACTTCAGACTCTTACATTCCTTTTTTTTTTTTTTAAGAATAGTTTATTGATTTTTAGAGAGCGGGAGGGAGGAAGGAAGAGGGAAAGAGAGAAACATCAATGTGAGAGTACAACATCAATCTGCTGCCTCCTGCATGCCCCCTACCAACAATGGAGCCTGCCACCCAGGCATGTGCCCTTGACTAGGAATGGAACTGGAACCTCCTGGTACCCGGGACTATGCCCAACCAACTGAGCCACACAGGCGAGGGCAGACTCTTATTTCCCTTTCATCTTCAAATCCTGCTAATACTACAAATCTTTCCCTTTTCCTTTTATCATCACTGCTGCTGTGTTAGTTCAATCAGTTATCTCAGGTCAGATATGTTACAATAGCCTCCTTACTGTTCTCTAGTTCACTATGTTATTTTACCCTACTCAGACATTTTGAGCTCACCCGGTAGGGTCTTAAAGATAAATCTCCAAAACGTCAGGCAGTTTCAAAGCTTTCAATAATCTAAGTCAATTCTACTTATTCATTTCCTACTACTCCTTCTTATACACTGGACTGAAGATAAATTAATTCCTGACTAAACTACTTTTGCTCAAATTTGCATATGTAACGGAGCAGTAGTAAGTGCTCAGAACCTGCACAAATATGGCTTCTAATTCTGGTTCCAGTAACTTGGATAAGTTTTCTTTATTTTTAAATTGGGAACATTCTCACATTACAGCATTGTTATGAGGAATAGAGAAAATACAAAAAATATTCAACACAGTGGCTATCTGCTCTGTGCTTCAAAAGCTCTCAAGATGTATTTATTCGACAAACATTTATCGAAAATCAACTTTATGACATGCACTGTATATATAAAAACATTACAGAGATACAGTGAATTGAAAGTTTTTGCCCTTAAAAAGTTCTCAGAGGGTAAAACAAATGTTATCTTGGTGATATCATGAATAAATTTTTTAAAAATAATTTGCTTAACATTCTTGATAATAGTGTATAGCTATATAAAGCTCATTATTAAAAACAAAATATTTTAATTTTACAAATAATTACAATTCAGATAATGCTAAGAAGATTCCCTCTATTTTAGTTCATATCACTCTATATACCAATTTACGTCAGCATTTAGAACTGAAACACTCGATTCATTATAACTCCCTAACCACACACTGAGACAGGCTAGTAAGCCAGGACAAGCAAATAGGAAAACTATCAGACAGTTAAAGAGCAGTTTTCAGCCATCAAGTAAACCCTATCTTCCCTAAACGAGGGACACTTAAGAAGAGTAAATGGCTTGTACGTTTCCTCCCCAGCCAGAGAATAGTTTAAATCACCCTACTCAGGGAGACAGCAGAAATCCAATTAGTTCCATTTGCCAACCATGCCCAAGGACTGATAAAGTTAAGAAAACAGAACTCATTTTGGTACATCAGCCTATAGCTGATGACTATTCTCTTGAGATGCACCCCTAAATGCCCAGCTTTTAAAACCCCTCAAAATTAAGGTCCTAGCGCTAGCTCTCCCTCCCCCTCCGGGGAGCACACATGCACTTCCCCCTGCCCCTTCTTTCCCCGTAGGCATGCATCTCCTAAATGCCAAGGGATCCCCTGACACTTGCAACCAGGGCAGCAATGGGCAGTGGCAGTTGGTCCCAGACAAACCCCTGAACCTGTCTGTCCCCAATGCCTCCTTTTCTCTGACTTCTCAGTGAGCCAAAGCATACTAGCCTAGGCTCATTTCCCCAGCCCTTTCTTGTTTCACTGTCCCCAGCTTTAATAAACGTCCTCTAAAATTCACCTGACCTTGTGTTGTGAAATTTTTTCCTGCATAAGTCTAGAACTCACACACTACCGGCTGGCCCTAGGCAGATCTGTTCAGGGCCCAGTCCCCTTCCGACCACAATAAAGCTTTTGCATTATTTAAATGTCTCTTGAGTATATGACATCTTTCTAATCAGACTGTAAACTCCTTAAGGAGTATCTCTCTGTAAAGATGATAGTGCTTATATACACAGCAGACACTCAACTCTAGTAAACCTAGAGGTTTTTCTCCAAAATCCAATAATCAGCCTACCCCTGGAGTTAGGGCCATATTCACTTTGTTTTTACTCTCCTTCTGGCTACAATACAAGCATGAATATGCAACATTTTCCTAAAACAACATTTCTAACCAGCAGCATCATTATGGCTGGATTTTGTAAAACCTCAAAGGAGTACCTTCCTGAGGGAGGTTGGCTGGCAGCCCAGGAAAGTCACCACTAGGTAGAATTTATCTTGGTGAATTTATCAACATTTAGGGACTGGTCCTCTCAGCTTTCAAAGGTCTTATTTTATACACACACCGAGTAGATCAGTTTCTCACAAGTAGATGCACACTGTTCAAGTGTACAACAACTGATGTAACAAGAATGTCAACTTTTTAGCATCCAGTGTGAAAAAATTGGCAAGGGACCAGGTACTTAAATGATCCGGTCAACATATTCTCTCTCTATAGGCATCTTACCTGGGACATCAAATTATAAATAGAATGGCAATGAGAAATATAACCAATAGAAAAGTATTTAACTCTCAATGGTAGTAAGTACCTGAATCCTATGGTTTGCATATACTTTCCCTTAGACATAACAGGTACAGGAATCAGAAGGATCAAAGTAAGGGGGGGGGGGGCTACTTACAAGAGATGCCCTTTTATAGTAAGTAGACTTTGGGGCAGATATTAAAGAATACTTAAATAAGTGGAAATATACGAGGATTGTAAAATTCACAACCATTACGAAGTCAGTTTCCCCCAAACTGATTTATGCTGGGGAGTGGCCAAGAGCTGGAACGAGACCCTTGGTCTATAGGTACCAGCTAAATGAAACAAAACTCACCTCACCATCACTCCCGCCCCAACATGAAAGTTTTGGCGAAGGATAATCTCAGCTAACATCTAATGACAAAGAGCCAAAGATCCAATCATCAAAAGCACCGGTACTCCGCTGCTTAAAATTGATGGGGGGCGGGGGGAGGGGGCTGCTGCTGCTTCTCCCCTCCTCCCAAACGAGAAGAGATCCTGTAAGCATCACTGACAAAATAAAGCTGTCCCCGGAGAACAGGACCGGGCCGTGAAGTCTGAGAGTCGGGGCACAGGGATCCTCCCCTTCCCGACGGAAAGAGGCTGCTCCGCTCCCTCCCGCAGCCCCCTGCACCGCGGGGCAGCCGGCCTCAAACCTTCCAGACCGCGGAGACGCCTCCCGCCGCCCCGACCGCTTTTTGCTGAAGTCCTGTTCCAGCCCGCTCTCCAGTTCCGGGTTTCGTCTCTCGGGCCCCTTTTCTTCCCTCGCTTTACCTAAGAGGAAAACAGAGACTAATCGAGTGAAATTGCTCACCGAGTTCACGGCGTCCTGCAGCTGCGTGAGTCGATCCGCCATGTTTCTCCCATAAGCAAAAAGACACTACACTGGCTGCTCGTACACGATTGGGCAACGCGAGGGTGCGTCATGGCCAATCACAGGGCTGCGTTCTTGGAAGGGGTGGAGTCAAGCACAACTTCACGCTTTGCAGAGAAAGGGTAGGACTTTCCTGGGGCTTACATCACTTGGACTGTCTCCACCTGGGAAAAATTTTCGCTAGGGCTCTTCTCGATAACCTGGGGACTCCCTGGGGTCCACTCGCCTTGGGGGCTAATACACTATACTGTTTTCCAGGCTTCTAGGTATTAAACACTTTACGGAGATTAAATTCTGTAGTTTTTAAACATTCAGTTTCCCTACACTCCCAATCATTCCTTTTTAAACGTCTACTTGAATATTTATTTTACGTTGTTTTTATTCTCAAGGTGGACCACAAAACATACACAGCATGGAACTCAGGAATACTTGGGAGTCACGATACCGACTTTAACCTCAACAAATACAAATTAAAAATCACTAGACAATCAGGAAGGGCTGGGTTAGGATGCCTCCTCTGGTGCTTTTGGCTGCCCATAGGGCCTTTTCCAAGAGGAGACTGGGAGCATACTTTAATTCTGAGTTGTAGGTGTGCCGGGGAAGCTGACCCAAACAAGAACTAAACTGAGCTGTATTGCCTGTGTTGGAAGAGTACAGAAAAAGAGTATCTCTGTAGGCTTAGGTGAGAAGAGCATTTGGAGTTAAGAGGTAAGATGTGAGTGTAGGCAACTAATAACCATCTCTTGTTAGTGTGACAGTAAGGAAAATCAGTGTGAGGGTTAATGGAGAGTGTTAGGACTTACACAGCAATATAATTCCTAACAGCCATTTTGCAAGCTTTTCTGCTACAGGAGAACAAAGACCAAAGTTCCCACCACAAGAGAACTGGCAGGACAAGAAGTACAATTTAAGAAACTAAAACTGCCAAAGAAGCACCCAATTAGACATCCACATCCTCTACCTTTATCATAATAGCTCCTGTCATCTTCCTGGATTTCATCTCCTGAGAGTTACAGGAGTGGGGGGCCTATGGGAGAGTAAAAAACATCATAGAAATAAGTGCTACAAAGGTGGGAAAATTTGGATCAGGCAGGAAAAGAGTTGTGCCTGTTAACATACGGTGATCGCTATAGATTTTTAGCTTAACAGTGGGTTAACCAAATACTGTATGTAATTTTCAAGATAGCTGCTCATTCAAATAGGTAAATGAAAAAATTTAAAGAGCAGGAAAAAAAAAGCAGGGCAATCATTCCCAAATCACTTTCAGTCTGTAAATCCAATTCCACACACAAGCCACCTGTCACTTGGACGCTGCCCTTTAAACAGCAAAACCCTCGGGTACGAGACCTGAGAGAGGAAGTTCAGAGCAAGGTCTGGATTCTTCGAGGATATTTTGCTGAGAGAAAACGAAACTTTATTTTTAAATACGGTGTTCATCACCAGCGCAGTAACCACTACAGAAACAGCGTTACCGCCTCCTGTTTATGCTCACATGGGCCTGCGCCGCTAAGGCAACAGCTGCGGGGAAAGACTGCTTTTGCGTTTTGAGCACCAGATTCCACCTTTTTATTTTCTTTTGCAAAGGACCGTTAAACTGGGGAACAGGACTCTAGAAACGTTAGGCCGCAACACAGTTATTTTTACTCTAACGGTGGTTTTCGTACATAGGAAAGATAAAAAAGCGAGAAGTGCAGGTTACACCACAACTTCCTGGGGTCCCTGGCACCGGCGCGGAGATCCCGGCAGCGCCGGGGCCGACAGGCCGCCCTGCGCCTGGAGGGGGCGCGCGCTGCCTGGGAACCTCCTGCGCCGCCCCGCCCACGGCGAGGAAGCGGTGACGTCAAAGGGGCGGGGCGGAGCGGAGGCGCGGTGCCTCGCCGCGGACCGTAATTACCCCGAGAGGGAACCTCTGGCTGAGGCCGGGCAGCGCAGCCGAGGTTGCTCGCCAGCTCCGCGGACCTGGCTGGTGGGCGGCGCGAGCACCTGGCGGGCGATGGCGCCGAGCGCGAGCGCCCCGGGGTAGCGAGGGCGAGGCTGCGCGGCCCTGAGCGCGCCGCTCCCCGACCCTGGCCTTGGTTCCGCCGGGCCCGGGCAGCTATGAGGCTCCTTCGGCTGTTGGCGCTGGCGGCGCTGGCGTCGCAGCCCGGGGTGGCTGGTGGAGCCGAGACCGCCGGGAACTCCAGCGTGGGTAAGGTCGGGGGCCTCACTTCTGCAGCCCAAGTGGCTCTTGCATTTCTTGCCGAGGCGAATCCACCTCAGGGTCTAGCCTAGCCGCAGGGGCGGTGAGTTCAGCATCGGCGGGAATGGATCGGAGTCCTTTCCTGCAGAAGGAAGTTGCCTCCGCTAAGGAGGCGTCCTAATTTACGCTGTGGAAATATGGAGAGAGAGGTAACTCTCTTGTTCAGACACATTATTACTTCCCTCAGGGAGCAGCCATGTTTGTGGGTTTAATTGGACACTTTAAAGCACCTCTATGCTCCCAAGTGGCGTATCTGAGCCTTTGGAGAGGAAGTTTTGGTGCAGAACCGAGGGCTTTGCGATTGACAGCCCTCCAGACTGAGCAGGTTTTCACGCCCCCAAATCTACATGCTTTTCTAATTGGTAAGCTCGACAGAGTTTAAGAGGAAAAACGAACTCAGATGGGGCTTTAGATTGTAGGTCATGTGATTGATGGTGCAGGGGTTTTAGCAGTAATTCGTAGTTGGTTAATATATAAACTGTGAGATAACACTGTGTCAGGCTGATGATCACGTGCTTTTCCATGTGGTTAAGCACATTCTTAGTTTTGTTTTGAGCTTAAGAGACTACTTACAATTCTGAGACATAATAATTTCTGAATAATGTGATTGTATTCCTAAATACTTATCTTTGAAAAGCTCTTGTGCCCAATGAGTTGTAGAATCTTTGCATAAGAGATAAGCTAAGGCCAGAGCAGGAAAAGGGCAAATTATATTTTTGCGGAAACAAACAGCCTTTTTAACAATAGGGCACTAACATTCACTACAGTGCAGAGTGTGCCAGGTGCTTTTCATGGCAATGTTATGTAATCCTCACGACGCTGTGAAATAATTACCATCCTCACTTGGCAGAGGAGGAAGCTAAGGCCCAAGATGATGATGCTCAGGACACAAGCAAGCTGCTAATAGGGGCACAGGCAGCATTTGAACCCAAGTATGTCTTGCTGCACATTTCATGGTCCTTTCACTTCAACAAAGCTGCCCTCAATAAGAATATTTAGCCCAATATGATGCTTTACACTCGATTGTTCTGTGAATTCTCATTTCTCAAAATAGCTTTGTGATGGAGGTGGAAGAGATGCTGCTCCATTTCAGCAGGTGAAGAATTTGAGGGATTGAGTTTGTAGTTGATCCACACTAGCCCGTGAGTCTGGAAGGCTGCATTCCAGAACTTTTCATTTCTAATTCTATGTGTTAGTATTTAATAACATCTAGAGCACTGGCCGGTTTGGCTCAGCAGTTAGAGCGTTGGCCCATGGACCAACAAAGAGTCTCGGGTATATTCAGGTCAAAGGCATGAACTTCGGTTGCAGTTCGATCCTCTAGTGAGGATTAAAAGAAAATAAATAACATCTAGAAACTTTTACACTTAAATTGAGAAATCTGCGTGATTAAGAGATTAATATTTTCAGACACTATTTCTTGCCTCTTTTCTGTGGTTTCGGCACTGATATTCCCTCCACCAGGATATTCTTTTTGCCTTGCATTAGTCTTGTTGCTCTGTGCAGAAGGACAATATGTGAGAACTTAACTGCTGAATGATAATAAAAGCTGATGTTCTCCACATTTGTCAGATAAAAAGTAATATAGAAATTAAGAAAGACTTAGTTCAAGACTTGCATTTTTCTGGAAAATGGCTGGATTTCTATGTGAGGATTCTGATAATGAGACAAACTGAAGGAACTAAGCAACTGCTGTTATTTAGGAGGATTTACCTATCTTTAACAGGACAAGCTGACTTACATCACTTGAGTAGTGGCTTGAAAGCCAAATGAATCTTTGAAGGTGGGAGATCCAGTTCCTGGAATGTGACCAGCAGGGCACCAGCAGTGCCTCATACATTTAAACAGTTTTCCCTTATCTTGAAGTCTCACTTCTCTGCTGCCTTTACAGTCTTGCATTATTGTTTGTTTCATATCCATTAACTCATGGAATTAGGTAGTACTTACCTTGAGCAGAATGTCATTTGAACTTTCTCATATTTATACTATTGATAATGCTGTAAGTAAGGTAGCAGGCCATTTGTGTAGTTAGTTGCAAGTGGTCTCTTTCTCTTGAAAGTGTGTGAAAGGTATATTTTTGTGTTTCCTTTCAGCTTTTAGGGCTAATGAAAATCCATAAGATATAAAGGAGAAATTGGGAGGGGCAGTTGAATGCTGACCAGTTCAAGGAGCTAAATGAACTGCTTTTGTTTTTAATATTTCATCTGAAGAGAATTATGAAGACTCAGCTTTCACAGATCTTTCCTAAAATCTGGTCATTGTGTGAAATCACAAACAATGGAGGTAAATTTTAATAAAATAGTGAAAGGAGAGTTGCAACATTTTAAGTTGCAAGTGTAGGATTTGATTGGGAAAGAAAAGGGATTGGGTAGCTCTTTGTAGAATGGAATTCTTGGAAAGAAAACATGAGTGAGTGGGAAGAGTATGAAAAATAGAAAAGAATCCCGTTATGGGTCAGATGGCAAAAAAATAGGCACTGCTTTTTAGAGGAGAGTACAGCGTAAGTGCTCTGTCATGTTAGCATGTGCTCTGTAATATCATTTGATGTGCTGTTTCCTTACCACTCCCAAAGTCATAAGATCTCATTATGCCTTGTAAAGTGTTTCTCATGAATCCCTTTCCAGATGGCTTAGAGGTGAATTAAGTTTCTGTTAACTTCTTCAGGATGTATTTTGATTATATGCCTTTATTTGCCATGTGTGCTTTTATGAGTAGAAATTAAATGCAGATTCTGCTAGACTGTGCAGTTAAAGTTGTCTTGACTTTCAGTATTTTTCCTTGTCACTCTAAGGAAGTCTCCTTCTCAACTTGATGCTTATGATGGATGTGCTGAGCATTTATACCTGTTAGTATTCCACTAGTTTACTTGTAGGACCATACTGAATGCATGACTTTCTTAAAAAAATAAGATGAGCCCCTGAAAACACCGGAAAGCTAATGGAAGTTAATAATGCTACTTTATTGTGTAATATTGGACAGTTTATACATCTTTCCCCATTTGTTTGATATTTTCAGCAGCCAAGTGATCTATGCAACACAATTCTCTCCATTTTTACCATGAGGGAACGGAAGCCCCGAGAAAAGAAATTATTTCCCTGAGGTCACAAAATTGAACTATCATTTACTAAACATATACTATATGCCAACTAGGTGACCAGTACTGTACTAGGCTTTGGAATGTCAAACATGACAAAAGCCTGGTATAGCCAGGGGTCAAACCATAACTGATTTTGTTAATACGCAATCTTCTATGAAACTTGTGAAATGGCTATCAGACTGCACAGGTAACACTGCCAGAAGATTTTCACACCGAATTCAGGTTAACAATAAGTAAGAATAGGAAAAATATACTTATCCTTCCCTAATTCATCAAACATTGAGTTAGGAGTTCTTGCTGAACATGGGACAGTGCTCAATCCACTGAGCCACACCAGCCAGGCAAAACATACATTTTTTAAAAAGCTAGATAGATATACAAGAATTCATGCTGTGTGAGTCAATTTAATTAAATTTCAAAAACAGGTAAAGCCTGTCTGTGGTGTTAGAAGTTAGGACTGGGGTTACCTCTGGGGAGGAGGGAAGAGACAGTGATTGGAAGGGAACACAAGTACACCCCTAAGATAGAATGCTGTTTCTGGACCTGGCAGTATAACCTGTGTGTACTTATCTGTGTGTATTAATGAATGTTTGTTTTTTAATTGATACTTGGGCCCTAACCCTAGGGATTTTGATTTAACTGGTCTGGAGAGGGGCACAGGCAACAATATTTTTTTAAAATCACCTCCAGATAATTGTAATGAACAGCCAGGGTGGATAACCACTGTCTTAGAATTTCTTTCTAATAATTACACCTCATGGGCACTATAGAAAATTTGAAAAATAAGGAAATCTGTAAAGAAAAGAAAAAATTATTTATTTTTTTTATTTTTATTTTATTTTTTTTTATCCTCACCCGAGGACATTTTTCCATTTTTTGTTTAGATAGAGTGGGAGGGAGGGAGAGGAAGAGAGAGAAAGAGAGAAAGAGAGAAACATCGACGTGAAAGGGACACATTGAGCGGCCGCCACCCGCATGACCAACCAGGGCCGGGGACAAACTGCAACCGAGGTACGTGCCCTTAGCGGGAACCGAACCCGGGTCTCTGGACCGCAGGCTGATGCTCCAACCGCTGAGCCAAACCGGCCAGGGCAAGAAAAAATTATTTAAAATACACCCTTAAAGGTATCTGCTTTTGATATTCCTACTTACTTTGTCAAGTGACCAGTTTTGTAAATAATACAGTCTCTCCCTCTCTCTCTCTCTCTTTTATTATTTGGCTTTGACTGGTTCTAGCTACAGTCATTTGGGGAAAGAAGGTTAGTTTCTGAAATGCCAGGTGTTCTTCTTGAAGAAGTCAGAAGAAGAGACTATAACTGAATGTTTTGGTCCTAATCATTATATATTTTCACATGGGCTGTTTGTTTTCATTTCTGATTTTCTTAATGAGAATAAGGCTTCCTAGATTGTTTTATCATTTATGGTGAAAGGTGATCTGTTACAATGTTACAGCAAAAAAACATATATCAACAAATAGGATTATTGCTTGAATATTCTTTTACAGAAACAGAACTATTTTATTTCTTATTCGTGCTGGAGTTAACACCCTATATGGAGATTGATTAAGTAATTATGGTTATGTACACATAATGAAATAAAGTATGTAGCTTTTAAAATGGTAAAGCAAGAATTACCTATGTCGATGTGGAAAGATATCTAAGATCTATCAAATGGACTAAACCAAACATATATCTTTTTTTTTAGATGTGCATAAAAATACTCATACTGATATATACTAAATCCTGAAAGATGTGTACCAAACTGTTAATAGTGATTATTTCTGCACTGTATATTTGCTGGAGGGATTAACTTTCTCAATGTTTCTTTCTTTTTAAAATAAGGACTATATATTATTTGGAAAAATAATACTATTTTTAGGGGAAAACAAAACAAGTACAGAAGTGTTGAAAGAGTGTCACTACTTTGTCTAGGTAGAGTGTGCCCCTGTTTTATAAATTTCAGATGATGAGTTGAGGTAGAACCTGTGTTTTGAGTGCCATTAAGCATGAAAGTTTTTTCAAATTGTGCAATTTCTTTCTGAAAAGAACACCTTACTATCACTATAGAAATTTTATAAACAGTGAAATATGTAAAGAAAAGAGAAATTACTTAAAATATATTCCCAGGGATACCTACATTTAATACTCCTACCTTACTTGTTTTGTTAAGTTACTAGTTGTTTAATAATGTATTTAGATTTCTATGGTCCTGTTTTTCCTTACTGTCTTTTAAAGCCGTGAACTTTCAGTTCTCCATTTCTTACTTGTGATTTATCTTCACCCTGGTTTGCCTGTTTAGTGGATTATTTGAGAATTAGGTTGGACAAAGAACTGGTGTGCAGCCGGGGGAAAGACACACACAGAACCATGGACAGAGCGAGTACAGATGGGAAGGGCCTAGATGAGGTGTTGGAAAACTGTTGTTATAACCTGTCTTTTATGTGGATTCTGAACTTAATCCTTAAATAAACAAACAAAAAGCTCATTTGTTTTTCAGAACACCTGTGGTTCATGACTGTATATGAAGTATCTGGGGTGGGCATTCAAAAGACATTTTTTTTTTTTTTTGCCAGTGTTGATGGCACTTTCTTTTGCAAGTTAGGTAATACAGTCTCATTTGACAGATGAAAAAAATTGAGATTTAAGAGAATTGAGAAACTTGCCAAAGATCACACAGCTAATAAATGGTGGCATAAAATTGAAGCCACCTCTGTGTCTCCAGAGAGACTTCAGAATTCTTAGTTCATACTGTTCTTTAATATCAGTGCATTCCTCAGAGTTGTGGATCCTACATTCAGGGACTCTGTTCAGAATAGAATTGTTATGGTTGCTACCAGATGGGGACCTTTTGTGGACTCTGGGAGCCAGGCACCTTGAGCATCCTCAGCTACTTTAAGAATTGTTCACATCTTTTGAAATACCTTTTTTCCCCACTTTAATTCTTATTTCTACCATTCACTAGCCAAGTCACCCTAGCTTCACCTCTTTAAGCCTCATTGTCCTTATCAGTGAAATGGGCTGTAATAATATTTATCTCAACTGTTTTTTCTTTCTGAAGATTAAATTAGTAGTGTATATGTTTTAATATGTGATTTCTACAAATTGACCTTAGAGGTACATATATTACACTGATACATTTCTCTTATTGTAGGTATGCTTGAATTTTCTGTGGGGAAATTTAAATACTTCAAGCTCAACAGGTCCTTTCCAGAGGAAGCTATTTTGCGTGATATTTCCAGCAATGTGACTTTTCTTATTTTCCAAATACACTCACAGTATCAGAATACAACAATTTCTTTTTCTAAGGTAAGTACAACGGATTATTTCTGTAAAAACTGTTTCTGTATTTTGGGGCCTTGTTTTTAGTATAAGCACTAGAATGTGATGCCTCTTTATGCTTAACTTTATATCCTAAGTTTTAAAAAAATCAAAGTTGGTTTCTGTCAAGTTAATGATTTAGACTGGATAAGAGGTAAGTATCTCAGGCCTTTCTTCAGTGTGGTGACTGACCTAAAGAGTTAATGACAGAGAGCTGAGTTTGGGGGGCGGGGCAGCTCTGCCAAATGTTTCCTATCTGAATGTAGTTCGAGCTTCCTCATGACTTCTCACTTTTTCTTTTTCTTACTGTACTGGGTCCTTAATGATTTTTAGTTGCGAATACATTTTAATGGGTTTCCATTTTTGGTTAGCCATTTAGTGTTGAAGTTTACTACGACCTGTATGTTTAATAAGACCCTATCGGATCAAATTTATTATTTGATGCTAATGGAAACAAAAGAATCCTAACACTGAGTTCATCCCATCCAGTGGTGGGTTTCTAGCAGCATTTAGAACTCTTAAAGAAAGCATCACTAAACCTCTTAACCTCTACCTCAGCTTTGGGAAGCTTTTCAGATGCCCTGGATTAGCCTAAGCTATTAAGGACCTGCCATTTATGTTAACCTTTTACAAATCTATTTCTATTTAGCCTATATGACCTATTAGACTAATAAATTCCACTCTGTATGATACTGTGTTCCTTTGTATTGGTCCTAAGCATATCTTCTAATATTCTAGAATTTGCTAACCAAAGTTCTTTTAGTCTAATTTATATATATTTTATAGGTATTGGTCATATTATCTTTCAAACTAAGTATTTTTTTTTTCTGACATCCTGCTCCTACCATGAACATTTTGAAATTGCATGCCTGTGTGGTATTTTAATAGAATAGAAATGGAAGAGTTTGATTAAGGAAGACAAGAAAGAATAAATTGCTAATTGCAAGACATAACAGTGTTTATGACCCATTTACATTGACTTTGCTCTAGTTCTTGGCAGCCAGAGCAGAAATCAAAACATGTCAAGTTTCATAACTTTCTCAGAAGGAAGAAACATGCCAATTACTCAGAGGAAGCCAAGTTTTTTTCTGGCACTATATTCAAAAGGAAACTTCCTACTCAGGTCCTTACATAGGAGACATAGGAAAATGGCACGTACATAATTTTCTTCTTGATAACATCACAGCACAGATAACATTTGAAGGAAGAGAAAGGGTGGAGAAAGAGCATTTATATTTATTGCATACCTACTATGTGCTAGGCTGGTGGTTCTTAGCTCCTAGGGCCATAGACTTTGAATCCACTGAAATCTATGTACTCACCTGGCAAAAAGTATAGATTCATCTGTATGATTTCATGGGGACCTCTGGAAAACCTCTGGGCCTCCTAATTAGGAACCCCTGTGTCTGGTTTTTCATATAATTAAATTCATTCTCACAACAGCTCAACAAAGTTGTTACAATGCCTATTTTTACCTCTAAAGAAACAGAGCTTGGATAAAGGGATGTTGACATAATTAATGTGGCAGAGGTAGTCTGGATGAACATCTTGGGCCTCAATTTTCATGCAGAAAGGATCTGAGTTATCTTTAGTTATAATAATGTCCCTTCACTGTGACGCCTTTAGTTCTCCCTGTGTCTGGACCACTGAGAGGATAACCAGAACTGCGTGAAGCTCTGGAAGTGAGTGGTCTGTGGGAAGAGGATTGTTTCTGTTTCCTCTGCCCTTTCTGACGAAGTGTGGTACTTTGGATTTTTTGAGTCATGATGGCAGTTGGTTTTTTGAAACTGTTGATCCTATAGTTCGTCAACTAATATTTGGATCATTCTCCCTTATACTTGTCAAATTGAAACCCATCTGTCACAAAAAAGTCAACCTGCACGTCATTCTGCACTTGTGGGAAAACCTGTCAAGGAAACCTAACATATGCCAATCATAATCCTCCAACTCAGTTTTAGCTAGCTTACCTTACCCTAAAAATAGGACCTGCTAGTATCCCAAGAACTTCCCAACCTCCTAGCCCATCATGCCTCATTTCTGCATTGCTGTTTCTAATGCTCTATAAAGCTCGCTGTTGCCCTGAATCCCTCAGGAACAATATTCCACAGATTGTGAGGCATTGCACTCCCCCAATCCATGGATTGTTTTCCCCTGAATAAAGGACATCAAACATGGTATGAAATTATTGGAGTTTCATTATTCAACAGTGGTCTTAGTACCTGACATAGTAAATCTTAATTTGGGTATTGAAAAGTTTGGAAATTTTGTTGCATGTGATCAAAGATTGTGTATTTTAAATAGTTCTTCCATCTATATTTGTGGGCACAATACACATGGAGGTGAAAAGAATTCTTTCATTATTGAAGGAAGGTCTGTTTTTATTCCTTTTTGTTTTGAGAAGATTTGGAATAGGACATGTATATTAGATCAAATCTAGAATTTAAATATTTTGTTCAACTCCTTATTTATAATGACTCTTTTCTCCCTTATTGCAGACTGTCCTTCCCAGTACCTCGGGAACAGGCATTGACAAAGGACTGGTTTTCATTCTTAGACCAGAGCAGAGTATGTGCTTTTGGTATTTGGAGACTTTAGATGCTGAGCCGGTCCAAAATGTGGCCATTCCAATCTCCTACTCAGAAAGAGGTAGACAAACTTGTTTGTCTTCAACTTCCATTACTGTCTAGAACAGTGGTTCTCAACTGTGGGTTGCGACCCCTTTGGGGTCGAATGACCCTTTCACAGGGGTCGCCTAAGACCATCAGAAAACACATGTTTCGCCCTGGCCGGTTTGGCTCAGCGGTTAGAGCATCGGCCTGTGGTCCGGAGAGACCCGGGTTCGGTTCCCGCTACGGGCACGTACCTCGGTTGCAGTTTGTCCCCGGCCCTGGTTGGTCGTGCGGGTGGCAGCCACTCGATGTGTCCCTTTCACATCGATGTTTCTCTCTCTCTCTCTCTCTCTCTCTCTCTCTCTTCCTCTCTCTCCCTCCCACTCTATCTGTGCAAAAAATGGAAAAAAAAATGTCCTCGGGTGAGGATAAAAAAAAGAAAGGAAATAAACGTGTATCTTTAAAAAAAAAAAGAAGAAAACACATGTTTCTAATGGCGACTTATAACAGTAGCAAAATTACAGTTACGAAGTAGCAACGAAAATAATTTTATGGTTGGGGGTCACCACACATGAGGAACTGTATTAAAGGGTCGCAGCATTAGGAAGGTTGAGAACCACTGGTCTAGAATATGGGACTTGTTCATGAAAATGTAGGGAAAACTGTAATCTTATTAAAAGTGTTTATTGTAAGTATAGTATATTTAATCAGAAAGGTTTTAATAGCAAGGGAGCCAGAGAATTAGCATTGTATTGAAAGCCCAGGTAGGGACTAGGAGAATACATTTATTCATTCGAAAAACATTTAAGGCACCTTTGGAGAAGCAGTAACAAAAGGGCAAGATACAGTCCTTAACACTTTTGTTGGTTATTCTAGGCAGAGGGAGGAGCTGAAGAAAAATGGGAGTGTTTGGAGAATGGCAAATAGTGGGTGTGGCTGGAGGCAGAGTGTGAGGGCTTTGTACACAATTTAAGGTTTGCATTCTATTCTGATCAGTTCTGAGGAAGCATAGAGAACGTTTAAGCAGAGGAATGATGTGATGAATCTCATCTCTTAAAAAAACTGTAGAAGCAGTGTAAGGAGTAGGTTGGAGAGGGCATAGCAGAGTTAGGACTCAGCATACCTTTGAGGGCTCAAAGTGAGAAATGAGAATCTGAACAGAGGGGACGAGAGAGGAGTTAGAGAAGGAGGGATGGATTTGAGATATTTGGAAGGTAGACTTGATAAGATACAGTGACTAGTGGTTATGGATTATTAAAGGGGGGGGCATAGACTTCCCATTTGGGCGGTTGGGAGATAGTGATGTAAATGAAGTGTAGAATTAGGGCTGTGGTGGTGCTGGATGCTTTAGGGGGTTGAGATGGGGTAGGTGGTGACTTCAGTTTGGAACACAATTAATTTGAAACATTTATAGGACATCTGGATGGAAATGTATAGTAGGCAGTTTTAAAATACCTGCCTGGAGTGGAGGAATAAGGTTAGATATTTAACTGAATAGCTGCTCAAAAAAGCCACAGAAGTGAGTGTGATTGTCCAGGCACATATGTACAGATTTAGATAGCAGAACCTTTCATAGTGCCTCCCACATGCCAGGCACTGTTTTTGGGGGATGCTAACTGCCGGGGAATAAGCGTAAGACTAAGGAGTGGTCAGGGAGGGAAAAGAAGAGCCTGGAGGTCCTGCCTGAAGTGAGGAGAGGTCAGGAGAAGTGACTGACAGTGTTCCTTTGACAGTGCAGTGAGTGGTGGCCTTCATGAGAGTCCTGTTAGTGGCTTATTGGGGATGAAAACTAGACTACAGGGATTGAGGATTGAAGGTGAGGTGAGGGAATTTAGACTGTGCTCAAAGTTTGATGGTTATGAGAAGGAGAGAGAGCAGTAGCTAGTAAAGGAGGAGGAATCCAAAAAGTGACCAGAGTTGAAGAAAGACAGTGTTATCTGTAGCAAAAGGGTCTTCCATCAAGGACAGTATACAAAGAAAAATTATGAACAATGGAACTTCAATTTCCATACATATCCTTTTCTCGGGTATGGTAAATATTCGTAAATGTAGCAAAAGGTGAGTAGGAAGGAAGATCATAGAATTCTGAGAAAAATTCCACAGTGTTGAAACAAGTGCACATGAGGTGTCTCCATTCCAAATCTGGCACGCAAAGGCAACTGCCAGAATTCCTTGGTTTAAGGAAACAGACCTAACTGTGGGAATGATCAGATGAGTGTATTAAGTTGAGATCTCATCAGCCTTTAACTTGGCTTACATTGTTCTGTCTTATCTCAGTCTTTCCACTTGAGTCCACTATATACAGTTCTTTGTATGGAGTTGAGCTCATGTCAAGTGACTGATTTAAGTTTTGTCTTGCTTAAAGGCCATGAATAGGATTCCTAATGAGAAAAGAAGAGCTGTTTTAGCCATGTTATTAATGTAAATGAAATACCCCAAATTTATTTGGTTTTTAATTAAATATTCAAATACTATTTCGCCACATGGTCTTAGGGGGGGTCTTTTTTTTTTTTTTTTATCCTCACCCGAGGATATTTTTCCATTTTTTGTACAGATAGAGTGGGAGGGAGAGAGAGAGAAACATCGACGTGAAGGGACACATCGAGTGGCTGCCACCCGCACGACCAACCAGGGCCGGGGACAAACTGCAACCGAAGTACGTGCCCTTAGCGGGAACCGAACCCAGGTCTCTCTGTACCACAGGCCGACGCTCTAACCGCTGAGCCAAACTGGCCAGGGCGGGGGGGGGGGGGTCTTTTGAAGTCTTTTACTCTTTCATATATACACAAAGATTTGCAGAATTGATGACTGTCTTTCTCCCCATAGAAAGAAGCATGTGAAAAGTGGACACCCATTCCTCTATTACTCATGGAGGTCCTTTACTCGTTGGCATTGTTTTTGTTCCCCTTCATCCCTGGGTTCTTATGCTCTTTTTGTGGGTTCATAAACCCCAAAATCTAATTAAAATCTCTCTTCCTAGGAAATGCACACATTCAACTTAAAATTTCTGGGTGTTCATAGAGCCCTTGAAACCCATTCTTGGATCCCAGCTTGAGAATCTCTTGTCTCTTCTGACCATTTCAACTCTACAGCAGAATTTGGCAAACTACAGACTGTGCCAAATCCAGCTCGCTGCCTATTTTGTACATAAAGTCTTATTGGAACGCAGCCCTGCCTATTTGCTTATGTGCTGTCTGTGGCCACTCTGGTGCCATGAGCAGGGCCCTCATAGCCTAAAGTAGGCATTATCTGACCCTTTACAGAAAAGATTTGCTGACCCCTGTTCTCGAGCCCTTAACCTTGGTTAATTTCACCCTCTTTAACTTCAGCTCCTTAGGTAGTATAAAACTAGAAGCTCTGTATTTAACTTCTATATGGAAAGTTCTTGTAAGAGTGGAGTTCTGTTTTTTGAGTATAATTTGAATATATAAAAATTCTGTGTTGAGTGACTTTCTTATTTTTCATACAGATCCGATTCCTGGAGGCTGTAATTTGGAGTTTGATTTAGATATTGATCCCAACATTTACTTGGAGTATGATTTCTTTGAAACAACCATCAAATTTGCTCCAGCAAACCTAGGCTATGCAAGGTATGTCTGTCTCTCATAGTTACTTTTAGAACATGCATAACTAGCTGTACCGTAGATTGAGTGAACTCACTCAGAATCCATCATTCTCTTTAGTAGAATTGAATTGTTTAGTTTTTTTCAATGGAAGTAATTCATACATTGTAACTAATACTGGAGCTGTCATTTACAGTTAATACTGTCCTCCTCAATTTGTATGGAGAGCCAGATGTTGAGTCCCTATTTTGAGCTTAGAAGTACATCTTAGTTTCCATAAAGAGTTTTACATATGGAAAGCATTTTGGAGCCCCAAAACATACTTATTTTTTTGTAAGGATTTTATTTTAATTAAAACTCTGTGCCTGGCCGGTGTGGCTCAGTGGTTGAGTGTCGACCCATGCACCAACAGGTCGCCAGTTCGATTCCCGGTCAGGGCACATGCCTGGGTTCTGGGCCCGATCTCCAGTTGGGGGCAAGCAGGAGGCAGCCAGTCGATGTTCTCTGTCATCGATGTTTCTATGTCTCTCTCTCTTTCTTCCATCCTCTCTCTCTAAAATCAATAAAGAAAAAAACTTAAATAAATAAATAAATAAATAAAACTCTGCTTCAGTTTCTACTTTAACAATGATAGTTAACATGTGAGTAACATTTGAGTGCTCTCTGTGCATTGTCCACAGTAGTGAGTGCTCTGTGTTCTCTGTCATTTAATTCTTCTTTTCTTTTCATCATCATTTAATTCTAACAATTTTATTAAGAAAGAGCAGTTGTTCTCATTTTACAAAGAGGTTCCCCAAGGGTCTTTGAGATGAAATGACTTGCCTATTTACAGCTAACAAATGGCAAAGCTGGCATTTGGCTCTAGGCCGGCCTGACATTAACATCTGGTTATTTAACCATACTACCTGTGAGGGTGTTATTTTTCTGCATGATGCCCAAATTGGAATTGTTGTTTCAGAAGTTTGAAATTCGAGCTTTTGGTTCCTTTGTATAGATGGGACTGCCCCCACAAGAGGTTGATGTTCAGTTTTGTTGGTTGACTTTAGAGGCACAGATTCTCCACCATGTGACATCAGGACGGGACAGGACTCTAGGTGGCGGTTGCAGTATGAGGTTTATCAGTATTTTCTGCCTGAGAATGACCTCACTGAAGAGGAGTTGCTGAAGCATCTGCAGAGGATGGCCGAAGTGCCTCGAGTGACAGCCAGTGCTATTAAGGTAAATCTGATTCTCGTGTTTTGAGTGGCCAGATTGCGGCTCCTTTGTAAGAGTTGAATAGGGGAGAAGCTACCAGTTTATTTCTTTACGGTTCACTTGGTCTTTCTGGGATTCACACTTTATTTTTTTTTATTTTGTTATCATCTTAGGAGTCTTTGCTAGTGATATCTCAAAGTAATGTTGGCCTTTAAAGAGATGCATGTAAATTATGTTACATTTCAGTTGCAGCCACGTATGTGACCTGGTAATCTTGAGATATGGATGGAAGTAGGCAGTAATTTCCTATGTACTCCGATACCTATTAGATTAAAACGTTTGGCAAATATAAAGGTTATAGTGTTGTGAAAAAAAATGAGACCTGTTTAAGGATGTACTTAATATTTAAACCCAAACTCCAAGTCTCTAACTTGGAGAAAAATTTTCTCTGATCCTTTGAACCCCTGTAACGTCTTGCTACTCCATGTGTGAGGTGTGGGCCAGAAGCATTGACATCACCTGGCAGTGTGTTGTAGACTCAGGCTCCACCCCAGACCTCCACAATCAGAATCTGCATTTTATGAGATACCCAGGTGATCCCTGTGCACATTAACATTTCAGATTCACCCGAGAGATCATTTCTGTGGAGGGCAGGATTTCATCTTTATGTCTTGAAAGGTGCTTGATAGCCGTCTAATATGCAAGGTCATCCTTTAGTCTAATGGTTGATGGGTAGAGTTTTTAAGACTGCCCTGATTCTTCCTGGACAGTTGAGAGATTAGTAGATTACATAGAAAGAGGTAATTGAAACAGGACATATGTGGTTAGCCCAGGGGCTGAATCTGTTATTGAGTAAGATCTCATTGTGTTGCTTTGTCACCTAGGATGTCATTGCCCCATGCTAAGAGAGAACCACATACAAGAAAAGTCATTGTGCTTATTCACAAATTAGGAAGCTCTATGGGAAAAGTTTATCCTTCAAAATAGAACATTTTGAAAACCATGCTTATTCTTATGAAGAACATAAGAACTCATGGAACAGGGCCTTTGTTTCAGTTACTTTTTTTAACTTTCAGTTAAAATTGAGAGCCCTGGCCAGTGTGGCGCAGTTCGTTGAGCACCATCTCGTGCATCAAAGGGTCACTGGATTCCTGCTCAGGACACATGCTTGGGTTGTGGGCTCGATCCCTAGTAGGGGGCATGCAGGAGGCAGCTAATCAATGTTTCTCTCTCTCTCCCTTCCTCTCTATCTGAAATCAATAAAAACATATTTTGAAAAAAGAATATTGCATGCCAAAATTCAGGGAAACCCTCAGTGACTAATGAGGACATGTCAAAAAGACCCCAGAATCTGTTTGAAGAGGCTCACACTGGCCAACTTTGGGACAATTCAGTGATCAAAAAAGAAAATGATTGACTATAAATCTTGAATAAATAAAAACAAGCTCTGTGCTGATAGAGGGGGAAAAAAGCAATCTCCCCATTTGCTACCATTGGAAGAGACTCTTATACCAAATTACAATGAAAATTTATAAAAGGAAGGAATTTGTCCTTCCTTTTTTTAAAAGGAAGAACTGTAATTCATCCTCAGTTGATGAAAGAAAGATCTTCTTTACAGAACAGTGCCAACTAATAAATGTAGAAGAAATAATTAGAATTAGAAAATCACCATTTTGTGACCCTCAGTGAAGTAATTTAGGCAAGGATCATTAAATAAAAGATTGTTGGGGCACAGGATATTCCCAGGGTGCCTAAATAGCACCCCTGGATTCTAACTATAAAGGGAAACTGTTTTTAGAATGGAATGATCTGACTGTCTCCTCCTTATCCAAATGGTCGACATAGTTTCACTGATAGTGGGTCCATTTGCATTATGTGCTCACATGGATGTAGTCTGACGTTATCACTGTTACCATCACCTATGGAATGTTCTAGCAAAACATGCTTAACCTGAATTCAGCCCATGGAGTTCCTGTTTACAGAAAATACAGGGGATAAAAGTACAAATCGGACACCTTGAGCACAATCTAAAAAATGCAGATTGTGGAATATTTTATAAAGTGACTGCCTTAATCTCTTCAAGTTATTGGGTGAGTGGGAGTAGGGTTGTGGATGGACTGTTCTAGATTACAGAGGTTAGAGATAAATACTGGGCATGAAACTTGGTCGGGTCTTGGTTAAAGGAGAGAAAAGCTGTGAAAGAGGTTTGGAAAAATTCTAATATGGACCTTGTATTAGATAAGAATTAACAAGTTTCTTAGGTGAACTTAGGTATTGTGGGTATATAGGAGAATATCCTTTGAATATCTTACTACTCAAAGTGTGGTAGATGAACATACAGCATTGGCATCACCAGAGAGATTGATAGAAAGCATAATGTCAGGTACCTCCTTTAACCAACAGATTCAGATCTGAATTTTAACAAACTATCCCAGTGATTTATAGACACATTAAGTTTGATAAACACTGTTTTAAGACATGCACACTGAGTTATTTACAAGTGAAATGTCATGATATCTGTAACTTACCTTAACATGGTTCAGCAGAAAAAAGTAGAGGGGAGGAAAGATGTAGAGAGGGATAGAAAAGCAAATATTAACAGTGATTGAATCTCATTGGTGCTTTGTAGTTTATTAATTGTATTATTCTTTCAGTATTTTTGTAAGGAAGGTTTCATAATAAAAATTTGGGTGAGTAGGAAGTACATTTTGTTGAACTTGACCAAATACTTTGCCCTGGAAACATAAAGTCTAAGCAATATTTTTATTTATTTTTTTATCCTCACCCGAGGATATTTTTCCATTGATTGTTAGATAGCGAGTGAAGGAGGGTGGGGGGAGGGAGAGAGAGAGAAACATTGATGTGAGAGACACACATTGATTGGTTGTCTCCTGCGTGATCCCAGATGGGGCCGGGAATCTAATCTGCAACCGAGGTATGATGTGCCCTTGACCAGGAGTCAAACCTGTGACTCTTTGGTCCTCAGAATGCTGCTCTAACCACTGAGCAAACCAGCCAGGCTAAGCAATATTTTTAAACAGTGAAGTCCTCTAAGAGGCTCATAATTATTCTTCAAACTCTAATATTTAATTTTCTCATTTATATTAATAGTAACATAACTATTATGATTATATAGCGTTTTTGTTTCTTCTGTTATATGGTTGACCTATTTAAAAAAACAACATTTAAAAGGGAATTTTTGAGGTTAAAGAGTATTGCATAACACAACTACATATAATGTCTTCTTATTTCAGAGCCTGTTAAACAGAAATAAGTGGGTACTCTCTATGAGGTGTTAACAGATTTTGTCAGCTATGACTGTAGCAATAGTTGACATTTGTAGAACACTTCCTCTATGTCCGGCATTGTGCTAAGTACTGAGCAAAGACTAGTGAGCAAAATAAAGATGGTTCCTGCCCTCATGTTGTTTACAATCTAGCAGATAAGAAATTTTTTTTTTTGCTTTGTCCTAATTAGCCTTTACGTGTATATTTATATCTTATTTTACTTAATTATTAGCATTTACCACTACACAAAAACTTTAGAAACATTTTATGTAAGAGCTTGTTTATATTAGTACATACAAACTGTGTAGGACCATCTTTTGACAAAATTAAGTAGGTTGGTGTATATTTTTGACAAGAATTATATTTTACTATTACAATTTAATGTCACATGTAGGTGGATTATAATAGAATAGCCTTAAAAAAAAAAAATTCTAAACAGCCCTGGCCGGTTTGGCTCAGCGGTTAGAGCATCAGCCTGTGGTCCAGAGAGACCTGGGTTCAGTTCCCACTAGGGGCACGTACCTCGGTTGCATTTTGTCCCCGGCCCTGGTTGGTCGTGCAGGTGGCAGCCACTCGATGTGTCCGTTTCATGTCGATGTTTTCTCTCTCTCTTTCTCTCCCTCTCTTTCCCTCCCACTCTGTCTGAACAAAAAAATGGGAAAATGTCCTCGGGTGAGGATAAAAAAAAAATCTGAACACTAATCGTGCATTATTTTTTACTTCAGGTGGTTACCTTAACAGCTAATGATAAGACAACTGTTTCTTTCTCCTCCCTCCCGGGACAAGGCGTCATTTATAACGTCATTGTTTGGGACCCATTTCTCAATACCTCTGCTGCTTATGTTCCTGCTCACACATATGCTTGCAGCTTTGACACAGTGGAGGGTAATTGTTCTTCTCTTGGTGAGTATACGGATTTAAACTTCGCAAATTTTTCTTTGGCTTTGCAGATCTATATCAACTAATATAGAACTTAAGAATAGTAACAGTGCTTTTGTGTCGTATTCATTCATTCATTGTACTGATACCTTTTACACCCCTACATTACTCCACTCTATGTTCTCGGCACTGGAATATAGCAGTGAACAAAACAGGCAAATACTTGCCCTCGTGGAGCTTATGTTTTAGTGAGGAAGACGAGACAGACAAGATAAACCTGTGACATATATAATACTTGAGAAGTGATGACTGCTAAGAAGCAACAGTGAAGTAGGAAAGGGAGACAATAAGTGGTGGTGAGAGAAGAATTAAAGATAGCATGGCCAGGGTAGTCCTTGCTGGGAAGGTAATATTTGAATAAAGACCCAAGTGATGCCCAAAGCCACATGTTTGGTTGTACATACCAGTGGATGGAACAGCCTGGGCAGAGTCCCTCAGCTGGGAGCTTACCGTGTGTTTGAAGAACTTCAGTGAGAACAGCGGCTGGAGTAAACTGGTACAGTGGCAGGCAGCTCGTACTTGGCCTTTTAGTTCATAATATGTAGCTTTTATTTGGAGTGAAGGGCATTAGAGGTTTTGAGCAAATAGTGCCATGATTGGACACATTTAAAAAAAATTATTGTATTATTTTCTTTATTGATTTTAGAGAGAGAGAGATAGAAACATCCATGAGAACGTTGATTGGCCGCCCCCCAATTGTTTTTCACAGTTTTTTGTTTGTTTGAATTAGGTTTCAGATAAGGGCTGAACATTTTATCTAGTTAATGTGTCTCTTAAATCTGTTTTAATCCACTTCTTCCTCCTCCTTCCCTCCTTTTTTTCTTGTAGTTTATTTGTGAAGAAACAATTATTTTAGTTATACTGTTTCTCTCTTCCTTTTTTCCCACTTCCTCCACGCCCCCTGCCTGCCCCCTCCCCCAAGAACATGTCACATACTTCTGTCAGGAAGCATTTCTTTTTTCTCTTTTCGTTATACCAGCAAACATTGCCCACCACATACAATAATTCATTTAGGGATAGCAAGGAAATTTTTAAAATAAAAGATACATGTGTGGAATGAATTATTGTTAGTTGACTTTGCTGTTTTCATGAAGCTTTGTTCTGTTAATTAAACACAAAGTATCAAATTACATGTATTATCCACTAAATTTTCATTATTTTCAGGAAGAATATCTACCAAAGTGTTTTTTACTCTTTTCGCCTTACTTGGTCTCTTCATTTGTTTCTTCGGACACAGATTCTGGAAAACAGGTGTGATGTCTGATGTACTTGATATTTATATACCTTGTGATCTTTTTTCTTAAATGCTGTGGGGAATTTATGACCTGTAGGGAGAATAAGTAGCTGTTTATCTCCACTGTCTTCATAGATTTGTGGCTGGGAAGATTCTACTGAGTTGCTCTGCGTTTTTATTTTTTCTCCTTTCTCACTAATGGAGTACAACCTCTTCTTGTTAGGAGAGGAATAAAATATTTTTAAAATATGTTTTTATTGATTTTTTTAGAGAGGTAGGGAGAGATAGAAACACTGATGTGAGAGAGAAACATCGACTGGCTGCCTCCTGCACATCCCCTACTGGGGATCGAGCCCACAACCCAGGCATGTGCTCTGACCTGGAATTGAACCAGGATCTCTCAGTCCATGGGACAACACTCAATCCACTCGCCACAGGCCAGGCAAGAGGGGAATGAAATTTGATTTGTGCAGCAAACTTCTTCAATTGCTAGATTTGCTAGTTGGTTAAAGATTACAGGTTAGAGATCAGGATGTCATGTAAAAAAATTATATATGTATGTGTGGATTTTGGTGCTGACATGGTTTCATATAAATCAAGTTGTAGGGCTCCATTTACAGTGAGACTGAAATATCTGCTTGGTCCTAGGGGGTTCGGACAGCAAATGGGACCTCCATAGTCTGCTCCGTGAAACCCAGAGTGGGGAGTAGAATATAAATTATGCTCACGTAACTGATTTGAGTTCTTTGAGTTGCCTTTTATGTAACAGATGTTTGCAATTACTAAAAAAGAAATCTTATTTAATTAACAAGAAGTATAAATGGAGTATCAAGGGGAGAGTGAACATAATCCTGATCTTATAAAACTCTTTAAACTTGCTTAAATAAATTGTTTGAAATAGCAATTCTTTTTCCTCCATCACTATACTTTTTTTTTATTGATTGAAAAGAGACTATTGTGAAGAATATTTAATACATCAAAGTGTAGAATGATTCTGTAACAGAGAGTTTAATTGTTAGGTTGTGTGTAAGGTCATGAAGATATTACTGGGTATTTTAATGAATGAAGACAGTGGTTGATTATTTATACTAAACAAGAAAGGATGAGTTAAAAGTAGATACAAAAGTCACATTTTGTTTTGGAATATATGTATATATATTTTTACCTTTTACATTTTGCTTTTGCTCACTTAAGTTGAAATTTAGTGTGCAATTTCAGATCAGACACAGTGACAAAAGTACTATTCTTTTTTTTATCCTCACCCGAGGACATTTTTCCCATTTTTTTTGTTCAGGTAGAGTGGGAGGGAGAGAGAGGAACAGAGAGAGAGAGAGAGAAACATCGATGTGAAAGGAACACATTGAGTGGCTGCCACCTGCACGACCGACCATGGCCGGGGACAAACTGCAACTGAGGTACGTGCCCTTAGCGGGAACCGAACCCGGGTCTCTCAGGACCGCAGGTCGACGCTCTAACCGCTGAGCCAAACCGGCCAGGGCTACTATTCTTTTTTTTAAGAAGGAAGTATAAATATACTAAAATGAGCTCTAAAAGTAACAACCTAATAATTGAAATTGACCTGTATACAAGAAGGTGTAATCTATGGTTAATACTTAATAGTGTACCCATTTAATAGTAATATTTACTACCAATGAGTTCTAAAAATTTCCTGCTTTTTAGATAATTATTTCTCTTCTCCAAATGCATGAATTGTGGTAGCATGAATTTGCCCATTAGATACTTAAATTGCATTGTAAAAAGAATACCTAACCATAGCTTTTTTTTCTTTCTTTCCTTTCCTGGTGGTTTGCTACTAGAATTATTCTTCATAGGCTTTATCTTCATGGGATTCTTCTTTTATATACTGATTACAAGACTGACACCAGTTAAGTATGATGGTAAGGAAAAACCATGTGATTTAATTAGGAGTTCAAACCGGAAGATGCTGTGTTTAATCTCTGCCTTTGCTCCTCTGTTTGGCCAGTATTATGTGTGATATGCTGTTTGTGTAAAATCTATGTTCTAAACACCTTTTCTCTAAGCTGCTCATTTAGACCTTCTCTTCCAAGTTTTGGGTACTTGATAAATTACTTGGTACTTAGTGAAATGAAGGGCCATATGGATTATAAACCTGTATTTCAGCTATGTGGTATATTGAAATATGAGATTTACAACAATGTCAAAATGTTAAGATTTTCTTTACCTTAAAACAAACACAAACCCTCCTTCCTTTGTCACGTTTAACAGCATGCCTGTCATTCCTTCCTTAGCCCCAATTTACAGGTTGTGTCAAACCATGCCTGTCACTAGTCTTGGGAGGTTGAGCTGTCCAGCTAGTGCTCATGTCTCAAACTGTCCCCTCCCTAGAGAGCCCATGCTGGTTTCACGGCACCACTGAAAAGCCCACCAACAGCAGGGCTGAGGGTGGCTCTGGGAATGGTATGTGTGTTGAAAGTACAGTCAGAGAAGCTATGTCTGGTCAAACAGTTCATCTTCTCTCTGTGCAGTTCGTCTGATTCTGACAGCCATTGCTGGGAGCGTTGGGGGGATTTTCTTGGTAGCTGCTTGGTGGCGATTTGGCATCCTCACCATCTGCATTCTGTGTGTTGGACTAGTGCTGGGCTTCCTCATCTCGTCGGTGACTTTCTTCACTCCGCTGGGTAAGAGATGCCTAACTAGCATTGTGTGTGTTCAGTTTATTGTTTGGAAGGTCTTATTCGGACTCTCTGGGTACAGATACTGCCTCATCAGGGATTTGGGGTCTTCTGTAAAGCTCTGGAAATCTGCATTTGATGATGTGGCACTTTAGGCAGGGCCAGTACAAATAAGAATCCCTCTTTCCTCAAAGGCACCTGTACTAGATGACTTACAGAATGTCTGTAGAGGTAGCTTTGTATTTATTTGTTGTGATAAGGTGTGTGTCTGAGTGTGTTTCTGTTAGCATTAATGGAGGTAGTAAGAGGCATTCCTAATATATAGAAAAACAGTGGTTTTTGTTTTTTTTAAATCCGGGAACTCTTTCTTCAAATGAACCTTAAGCAGAAGCCCAGTATATATGCCTCAGGTAAATTTGGTGCTGACTTGGGGAACTGGGTGCTTTGTTCCCAGTCTGCTCGTTTACCTCTAACTCCACACCCACCCTTTGCCAAACTTTGTGTTCCTAAGGCCCCTGCTTGTAGTCATCCTAGGGCCCTAGCACAGGGATGGTTCTGGGGACTTTTTTTAAAAAGTAATTTAATTTCTATCAATGTAAAAAAATCTGGTTAACTTGTAAGTTAACTTTCTTTGCAGTTGTGCAGTAACTTACATTTCTTGATTATTGTCAAAAATGGAAAAAAGAGTATCTACATTCCAAGGTACTTTATTAGGCTATTTCTATCTTGTGATAATGTTTATTTCTTATATTACAATATCAGATTAAAGTTAATGGAAATGTTAGAAATAAGTATAACTGTCTCTGGAGGCTATCAACTCTTGAGAATGCAGGGTATAACAGAGTGCAGTTGGCTCTCTCTTTTTTTTTTTTTTGGTACGTGCCTCTAGCCACTAGGGCCCAATGGGAACTGAACCCGGGACTCTCTGGTCTGTAGGCCGATGCTCCAGCCACTGAGCCAAACCAGCCAGGGCCTAAAAAATTTTTTTAAGACCAGACAGAATTGATAACCTGTTTATTTACTGACCATTAAGAGGCCCTTTTGTTCTGAGTAGCAAACCTATAGCCAAGTTTATTCCCACAGCTCCCCCTGCAGGTGGCTTTTACATTTTTTTATTTTTTAATTATTGTTAATGGGAATGCAAATTGGTATAGCCATTATGGAAAACAGTATGGAGGTTCCTCAAAAAATTAAAAATGGAACTGCCTTATGACCCAGCGATTCCACTTCTAGGCTATGTCCGAAGGAACTTAAAGCCCTAATTCAAAAAATATATGCACCCCGATGTTCATCGCAGCATTATGTACAATAGCCAAGATATGGAAGCAACCCAAGTGCCTATCTGTAGATGAGTGGATGAACAAGCTGTAGTACTTATATGCAAGAGAATATTACTCAGCCATAAAAAATAAATGAAATTTTACAGTTTGCAACAGCATGCATGGACCAAAAGATACTGTGCTGAGTGAAATAAGTCAGAGAAAAACAGATACATTATGATTTCACTTGTATGTGGAATCTGTAGAACTCCCACTCTTCCAGGATACATGGGTCTCAAGATACAGGGCCACCTCCAGGTAGACTGAATGATGGTGCCAGTGTCAGTATTAAATAACTGTCAGGCTTATATTCTTGCTATTTAAACTAAATTTATAAATAGGAGTTCTAGTATGTTTGTTCTGGGTCACCCAAGGTGTGCCACGTTTTGGAAGAAGTTTAGTAGAAACAGGTAAGTGGCTAACTCCTGACTTTCCTGATTCATTGGGAGATCACGTCTTCTAGTATGCACTGGCCGGATTTTACTGCTTCTATTGAGTGGGAGTTCATAGGGTTAACTCTGAATGTCATTTACTTGTATTTTTTACTTTGCAGTACAAAATCATGGAATCATAGAAATTTAGAGCTAAAATAGTTTGGAATTTGGAGATGAAGTAGTTTAATCTTCTCATTTTATGGGTTAGGAAACTGAGGCCCAGCTTCACAGCCAGTGAATAGAAGAGCTTGGACTAGTCAGGCCTCTTCTAAATTACCCTGGTAATAAATGCAGAGCATTTACTTGCTTTATTTTACTCCCACCCTTCTACCTGCTAGGACACATCCTTCAAAGGTGATTGTATTAACAGCTAAATTAAGAAAATTAGAATTCATTTCTTTTTTTAAATATGTTTTTATTGATTTTTTTAGAGAGAAACATTGATGTGAGAGAGATATGTTGATTGCTGCCTTCTGCACGGCCCCCACCAGGGATCCAGCCCTCAACTGGGCATGTGCCCTGACCTCCCAGTCCGTGGGAATTGAAATGGGACCTCCCAGTCCGTGGGACGACGCTCAGTCCACTGAGCCACACCGGCTGGGCTGGAATTCATATCTAAGTGCCAACACACTCCCTGACTGTTATATATTAAACTTTCTACATATGTCCATGTTCAGATGTTGAGAAAATGAAATTTAACTTGGTGAACCTGTTCTTTATTCTTGATTTCTTTTTGCTTTTTCAGGAAACCTAACAATATTTAATAATGATGGTGTGTTCTGGGTGACCTTCTCTTGTATAGCTGTTCTCATTCCAGGAGTTTTCATGGGCTGCCTAAGAATAGTAAGTGTTTCATCAAAAGTTAGATTTATTTATTATATTGTCCTGGGCTTTTGGTTGTTCACTTATTATATCAGTTTGCATGTTTTATTACCAAGTACCATATGATTTTACTTATATGTGGAATCTAACGAACAAGATAAACAGAGTGGAGACGGACTCATGGATACAGAGAACAGACTGACAGCTATCAGTGGGGAAGGGATTGGGGCTTGGTGAGAAGGGTGAAGGGATTAAGCAAAGAAAGAAAAGTCAGACTGGTGAACACAGACAACAGTATGCTGATTGACAGAGGGAGGGGATGGGGAGAGGTGGAAGAAGGTACGGGAGGATAAGTGGTGATGGAAGGAGACTTGACTTGGAGTGGTAAACACGCAGTACAACACACAGATGATGTATTGTAGAATTGTATACCTGATACCTATATAATTTTTAAAAATTTTTTTTTATCATCCTCACCCGAGGACATTTTTCCATTCCTTGGTCAGGTAGAGTGGGAGGGAGAGAGAGGAACAGAGAGAGAGAGAAACATTGATGTGAAAGGGACACATCGAGTGGTCACCACCCGCACAACCAACCAGGGCCGGGGACAAACTGCAACCGAGGTACGTGCCCTTAGTGGGAACCAAACCCGGGTCTCTCCGGACCGCAGGCCGACGCTCTAACTGCTGAGCCAAACCGGCCAGGGCTAGAATTGTATACCTGATACCTATATAATTTTATTAACCAAGTTAGCCTAATAAAATCAATAAAAATAAATTTTAAAAAATTGCTTTTAACAGTGGGAGCAGAGAAGGTAGGACCTACTGTAATGCAACAACTTGATGGATCATTAGCTGTCTCTGCAAAAAAGTGGTTCTTCATCTAATTAAACTTTATTGTTGAAATTCTTTCACAGGGCAGATTTTTTTTTTTTTTTTATCCTCACTCAAGGACATTTTTCCAACTTTTGTACAGATAGAGTGGGAGGGAGAGAGAGGGAAAGAGAGAGAGAGAGAGAAACATCGACGTGAAAGGGACACATCGAGTGGCTGCCACCCGCACGACCAATCAGGGCCGGGGACAAACTGCAACCGAGGTACGTGCCCTTAGCGGGAACCGAACCCGGGTCTCTCCGAACCGCAGGCCAACGCTCTAACCGCTGAGCCAAACCGGCCAGGGCCAGATTTTTTTTAATATAAGGTAAACTGTTTTATTAAGAACTCACTTTGGGTGTCAAAGATTGTTTTCAGTTTATCTTTCCAGGCAACCTTTATTCAGCTCTAAGACTTGGTCCCTTTTCATGTTCCCGTGGGAGTAGAAGTGATTCCGTGTGATTGAGGCCAGTGATATGCGTTAGAAACTATTCTTGTTCTACCAGAGGTGAAGCCTAAACTTTCCCGTTCTTCCACAGCTGAACATACTGACTTGTGGATTCATTGGCTCCTATTCAGTGGTCTTGGCCGTTGACAGTTACATGTATACAAGCCTTTCTTACATCACTTTGAATGTACTCAAGAGAGCACTCAACACTCATTTCCGCAGCGCTTTCACAAATGTGCCTTTTCAAACTAATGGTAAGACTCCAGATCCAAGAATCAGTGATACTCAACTAGGAATATTGGCCGACCTGTGCTAACAAAAGCACTTGGAAACTAGATTGAAAGACGGTTAACTGGATGCAAAGAAAGTTACCTCCACACAAGGAGGAAACGAGCACCATACAAATGCTCTTGGAGTCAGTCCTCTGTTAATAACTTAATGATCATAGAAGCAAAGAATTTAAATTTCTTAAGTGGTTGACGTTCATACTTCAAAAAATCTGCTAAATGAACTTTGTTAAGAAATTTCTAAATCAGGATTACTTAGGTTCACAACTGGTCAATTCCCAGTTGTGAAAAAATGCTAATAAAGATGGCACCTAATGGTTGAGGTGGGATGAGAATGACAACCTAGTTATTTTTTATAGATCATTCCCTATTTCCCTCCTTTAGAAAAGCATGTAATTTGCTAATTGAAAGTGAAAGTGAATTTTAGTAAGTGTATTATTTCCGTAGTTCTAGGATTTCTACCCATTACAGATTTTCCATTAACTAAATTAAATGTAAGAGTGTAAGATATGTTGGTTTCAGAAATGTTAAAACATGGAGGATGAAACAGCATGTTAGAATTGAAGATGTACAAGCACAGTCATGATTGTTCTGAAGATGTAAGGATAAATCTTTCCCTCTACTGTCCTGAGCCTACCCTCATTTGATAAGAGATTAATGATAGAGACCTTGAAATCCATGTGTCTCGGAAGTTTTACATACAAGACAGTATTTTGCCAAGCCTTCTACTAGAAGCCCAGTACAACTTGCTGAATCTCTATATGAGTGGGGTGGGTAATGGGATAAAAGAGGGCATGGTGGTGTCCAGTGTTCCATGATGTACATTTGTGAGCTATACCTAGATTGCTGCCCCCTCCTTTGTGGAAAACACAACGAACAGCTGCCTATGGGCACTGGTCATAAAACATTGGAATGTCAAGGATCCAAACCACTGGTTCAATTGCAAGCGTCTGGACTTTCAAATGCCTGTAATAGAAAGTTTCTATATTCAATATAAGGCTATAGCCTCCTCACTCATTCCTTGGTTTGTAAATAAGGAAGTAACAGATGTTTGGACAAACTCACCACAGTCTAATGTTACTAAGAAAATATGACATAGATTTCAGCTATGAAAGGTTACATGTTAGATCTGCTAAGTTTTAAAATACAATAGTTCAAACTGTGCTTTTTACTGTTTTTTAGACTTTATTATCCTGGCAGTCTGGGGGATGCTGGCTGTAAGTGGAATTACATTACAGATTCGAAGAGAAAGAGGGCGACGCCATTTTCCTCCCCACCCATACAAGTTATGGAAACGAGAGAGGGAACGCAGAGTCACCAACATTCTGGATCCCAGCTACCACATCCCTCCATTGAGAGAGAGGCTCTATGGCCGATTAACCCAGATCAGAGAGCTCTTCCAGAAGGAACAGCCAGCTGGAGAAAGAACACCCCTGCTTCTATAGATGTCACGGGCTTGGTCATTGTGATCTTGAAGTGCAACCCTCAGCTTTGGTGTTTTTCCCAGCCTGCTTCAGCAATAGCCAGTCCAAGTCTAATAGGAAAACAGGCTAATGCATGTGTGAGCGGTGTCCTTGCCGATACAGGGTAGGGGATGCCAAGATCATGATAATTCTAAGTGAAAAGAATGACCAAAAAATTGGTGGTAGGGAATCTTCCCCTTATTGCAAAAAACTTGAGAAATTATCTTGTGGTTTACATGATCAACTTGTTCCAATAAATAGATACACTAAAAACAATTAAAAAACAATGATTCTCATGTAAAGCCCTGGTGTTTCTTTTTATAACTCCTTGAACAGTTCTCTCATCTTAGTCTGTCCAAACCTGGGGGGCAAGGGCACAAAGGGTGGTTTGATTTAAGTGTTAGACTGAATTTTTCGCACTGTTTAGAGATTTAGGGATTTGATACTGGGTCTTTGAACTTCAGAATACAAAAGAAGGAAAACTAACTTAAAAGCAGTCTGATTATTTAGTTGCATCTTTCATAGTAGTATCATATAGTAACAAAAGATACCGTTCTTTTGCTTATTCTTATGCTAAAAAACACCATATCATTGTAAGTATATAGTTTAGTAGAGAATCTTTGTTCTTGCTTTTTATTTGTTTAAAATAGTAATTTAAATAGCTAAATTATTTCAGTTATTTGAAAATCAGTCAAATTTATATAGACAGCATAACTTTTATATGGATGATGTATTTATATATTCCAAATAATGGCCTGTGTTGTTTTTCTTTTCTTTCAAGGCCCTTTAAAATAGTGTTGAGAGTTGATCTCTAATTTAAACCTTATTAGGTGACATATGAATTGTTGTTTTTAGGATACAGATGGCTCTTACTTTAATCTATAGTCCTACTAATAAGGAAATCTTTTAAAAATTTGCATTTTGTAGTTCTAAGTTAGTTATTAGCATTGATATAAAATACAATTTAAAAAATGTCTATATGAAGACTTTGTACCTTGTGTGTTTTATTTTTAATTTTTTTAAAATATATTTTTATTGATGTTTAGAGAGAGGAAGGGAGAGGGAGAGAGGTAGAAACATCCATGAGAGAGAAACATCAATTGTCTGCCTCCTGCAGGCCCCTTACTGGGGATCAAGCCCCCAACTTGGGCATGTACCCTGACCGGGAATCGAACCAATGGCCTCTTGGTGCATGGGTCGATGCTCAACCACTGAGCCACACCAGCCAGGCTACCATGTGTGTTTTAAAGTGATGAGGAAGTCAAAGGATTCGGGTGTTTAATGGAGCTGGATTTTGAATTAGGACCTTCCCATTTGTAAGTCTCTTTAGTTTTGACTTTTTTCCACCATGAGAAAGTACCTAGATGCCCTGGGCTGTGTACCTGTTCCTCATGGCCTTTTCTCTTAACTATCAGAGCCTCTGCCTTGGACTTCAAGCTGGTGACTCGGACATGCCTGAGTGACGGGGGCTGTGGTGGTTGTATGCACATTGTGAGTCAACCACTATTTGAAATGCTGCTTTAAAGTTTTTTCAAAGCCACAATAGCTTTATGAAGTTTCATGTAGCTGGAAAATTTTCAACTTTTGCTTTTGAAGGTGTTTTGGAAAGGGTTTATTCTGTAACCCACACTATTTATATAACTGCAGTAACACTTAAATTTGAAGGAAAAATTTTTTTTTTATAATTCACCATAGGGATTATGGCTTCTGCTGTATCTTTGTACATTCTAGCAAAGTTACAAGGAATGTTTGTGAGTTGTTTTCTATACCATCAAAATGCACTGTCAGTGAAGACTGTAAAGACGGAACACACTTTTTAGAAGGGGGATACAAATTGTAAAAAAATTTATAATTTGTGAGGGATAAAAAACCCATTTGTACAATTTTTAAATAATAAATTCCTATTTTGAAAAAAATGCTAAAAAGTCTCATTATTATAAAAATTTTATACCAACTATATTTGTACTGTAGTAACAAGACATAAGAGGAAGTTTCATAGCTATAAAAACCAAATTATTTAATTAGAAAAATAATTATTTAAAATATCAGTTTAAGTATAAATGAAATAATAGGAAATGAAGACAAGTTGGGGCCACCTGATGTCTCTTTAAAAAATATATGTTTTTATTTTTTTAGAGATAGAAACATCCATGCGAGAAACATCCATCTGCTGCCTCCTGCACGCCCCCTACTGGTGATCGAGGCCGAAACCCAGGGATGTACCCTGAATCACAATTGAACCTGGACCTCTCAGTCCATGTGATAATGCTCAATCCACTGAGCCACACCAGCCAGGCTAAAGATATTTTTCACCCTTATATTCTGTGTGTCTAGAGTCTGCATGAACTAGAGACAAAAACAATATTTGAGATGTCTTAAAATTAATCTATTCCAGGGGGAAGTTAACATTTGAGAAATTCATTCACTTGATCTCACAGCAGCCTTTGATTTGGTAGGACTGAGCACCTGACGACTGAGTGATGCTGAAATTTGAGATGTAGCAGACAATTCCTCAGCATTTTAAAGTAGCCAAGGCCAGCCCTATTCATCTTCAACTGTATAGAGCAATGTGCTGAGGTTTGGGATTGTGTACAACTCTGGCAGGGACAAGCTCTTAGGAACACTGATTCTAACCAGTTTTCTTTGTTAGTTTTATTTAAAGTCCAAATGTAGCCTCCCTATCAATGTTGGATACTCAAGAATTACATCTGGTGTTTCAAGATTAGTATATTTTTATTCTGGGTCCAATTCTACAAATTGATACTGATTTCAATATAGTAAATTTTCTTTTTTTTATATTTTTTTATCCTCACCCGAGGACCTTTTTGCATTTATCTCCAGATAGAGTGGGAGGGAGAGAGGAGGGAAGAGAGCGAGAGAAACATCGATGCGAGAGAGACACATCGACTGGTTGCCACCCACACAACCCCAACTGGGGCTGGGGACAAACTGCAACTGAGGTACGTGCCCTTAGCAGGAACCGAACCCGGGACTCTCTAGTCCACAGGCCAACGCTCTAACTGCTGAGCCAAACTGGCCAGGACTCAATATAGTGAGGCTTTGATTACTCCAAAACACTAAGTTGACTCTTTTCCTTTTGCTCATATGGAAAAAAACAAAAATATTGCAATGGATATCATTGAAAAAAAAAAATCAAAGTAAGGAAACCAAGGTGTATAGTATGTTCCAATTGTGTGTGTGTATACTTGATTTTAAACAATGCATTTATTTTTTTCTTTATATAAAAGAAATTATTAATAAAATGAACAAAACCTAACAAAATTCTGCAAATTTATACATCAGAAATTAAAGTACAGTGTATAAACTATACAGTGTATAAACTATCTATATGGATGTTTAATGCAGCACTGTTTTGGGTTAAAAAAAATCTGAATATCCATCAGTAGGGGAAATAGGTGAATAAATTATGAGTTACACAATGATAGTTACAAAAAACTTTGGTTTGCAGGCAACAGAAACTAACTGGCTAGTACATATAAACAATGGAATTAGTTGGAAATACAGCTGACCTGTGAACAATGTTGGGGCTAGGGGACTGACCTCCTCATAGTCAAAAATCCGTGTAAAACTTTTGACTCCCCCAAAACTTAGTACAGTTGTCCCTCAGTATCCATGGGGGATTGGTTTCAGGTCCCTGATGGATACTGAAATCCACAGATGCTCCAGCCCCCTATATAAAATGGTGTAGATCAATGTATAGTTGACTTTCCACATCCCTGGATGCCCAACCATGGATCGATAACAGTAGAGGTATTTGCTGACAAAAATCGGTGTATAAGTGGGCCCACACAGTTCACACCAATGTTCAAGAGTCAACTGTATACTGAACATTTCACCCTTTGCTTTTGACTTTTACATAGTTGTAATTATAAGTTCAATTGAGTATTAAGCTTTTAATTATGCACATTTAGGTATATTTAGGTACATTTTTCTTCCTGTTGCTACAATCTTTTAAGCTATAGTATATAATAAACTGCACTGAGTAGATACAATTTACATCCAGATTATTTAATTAAGTTTAAATTAAATTTACTATTTGCCTATTATAGGATATTTAGGTTGAATCCAGAGTGTTCACTCTAACACTTTTATAATGTAGCTTTATCCAGGGGAAGAAATGGAGATGAGAAATGGTAGGATTCTGATATATTTAGAAGGGAGAGTTCAAGATTTGCTGATGAACAACAGTGCAAGATATAAGAAGTGGAGTCAAAGATGAGATGGGGGAAAATATGGAGAGTAAGATTGGAGTTCAGCTTTGGAAATCTTAACTTTAAGGTCGCTCACTGATTGTCACAGTTGGATGAGTCTGGATTTGATGAGATCTAATGAGAGCTATAAATTTGGGAGTAATCCAGCATACAAGTGGTATTTAAAGTCATGAGAGTGGGCGAGATCACCAAGGAAGTAAGTATAGATACATAATAGGAATAAAAACGAGCACTCTAATGTTCAGAAGTTAGAATAAGCCCAGCCCCGTGTGGCTCAGTGGTTGAGTGTCGACCCATGCACCAAAAGGTTGCTAGTTCAATTCCCAGTCAGGGCACATGCCCAGCTTGTGGGCCCAATCAGGAGGGGCACGCAGGAGGCAGCCAATCAATGTTCTGTCTCATCGATGTTTCTCTCTCTCTTCCTCTCTAAAATCAATAAAGAAAAAATATTAAAAAATAAGAAAAAGAGAGTAAAAAAGAAACAAAAGAAATTGAGGGGCAGCCAGTGAGGTAAAAAGAAAATGTCCCTTCAAATTTCAATTAGAAATTCTCCGACAGTCAAAGAAGATAACACCAAAAATTAAGTTCTGGATTTATGATATTCCATTTATCATTGAGGCAGTTTAGAAAAACAAAGTTTTGGAAGTCCCCTTGATATTAAATATCAAAGACTACCAGTTTAAGTAGAAAACATTTTATTTTCAAGGTTGTATAGAATTGGTTTTCTAGAGTTGCATTCCCTACATAAGATAAAAAATAGAATGGGTAAATGATAAATGATAGATGTATTTGTTTCCTAGGGCTGCTGTAATCATCATAGGCTGGTAGTTTAACAGAAATTTATTCTCTCACAGTTCTGAAAATCAAGAGGGCCAGAAGTCTGAAATCAATCAGGGCTGGTCCCTTCTGAAGGCTCTGAGGGAGAATTCACTCCATGCCCCTCTCTTAGCTTCTGGTGGCACCTTATTATCCTTAGGGTTCCTTGGCTTGCCTAACTCTGCATGTGTCTTCATAATGGCTTTCTCCTTGTGGCCCTCTCCTGTGTTTCAAATCTTCTCTCTTACAGGGATACCAGTCATTGGATTTAGGGCCCATCCAGGGTGATCTAATCCCCAAATCCTTAAATCTGCAAAGACTCCTTTGGGAAATATGGTCACATTTATAGCTACAGCAGGTTAGGACCTGGATATACCTTTTGGGGGCGGGGAGCTCTTAAACCTACAGAAGATAAAAAGGTTTGCAGGATCAGCAATAAATTGCTTGCCAAGTCTTAAAATACATGGATAGAAGTTGTTGCTAAGTACTAGTTCTGTGGTAAGAAGAGATTAAAAAACAAAACAAAACAAAAACCCTCAAAATAAAGCATAATTTTCAAGTTAACTTGGAGAGCACACCAATTTTAATCAATCACTCATCTTTATTGATAAAATAGGCTCCTATGCACTACATACCTTTAGACATAAACTTAAGGTTCTGTTTAACAAAGTATGGGATGGAAACTGTTTCCATATAACAAAGTAAATGTCTTTAAACACTAAGATCTTAAAATTATATCCAAGTAAGAAGACTAAGAATAAATTAACTCAACTTGTTTATAAAAATAATTATGTATCAAGTAATGTTTTATAATAGAGCTGCCTCAATGAACTGCCTCAGACTTAATCTCAACTGTGTAGCTTATTTTCTTTAATTCTAACTTGGGATAAAAACTATATGAATGAATATGCCATCAAATTAAGGGATACTTTCTGAAAAACAAATAGAAAAGTTAAAAAATAATAACTGTCATTTATTTATATAACATTAAGGCCTCCGAATGAGAACAAAAATCAATTTAATGTTGGGTCAATAGCCCTTTTCTATTCAGTCAGCCCCATCAACTCCACTTACCCCAAACTTAAGACAGAAAAATTCTGAAAAGTAGTTTTAAATTTTACCAATATATGAAATTATACATAAAAATTACCATGTAAGTATTTAACACATTTTTACTCAAAAGTAAATTTTCTATTGTGCTAATTTTATTATGTATTCAATATAAATGAGCATAATATATCTGACACTCTTCTTTTATCCTTTTATTCTACAATCACCAAAAAATAAGAAAAATTTAGATTTCAATTGATGTTAAAGCACATTTCTATTTCTGGTGGCTTTTGAAAGTTTACATACTGGATATATATTTCATAAAAAAATAAAATACTTCTAACTCCATCAATTTTTTGTGTGTGTCCCTTTTCAACTGAAAGGTTGTAAGAAAAATCTTATAGGTTATAAGGACCACATGGTGCTTAAGAATAGATCCAGAAAAAAAATAATTTTAATTTACCTTTTCTATCTTTCTTAACAGTTACTTTTTAAAAAGGGCTCTATGAGGCAGAGGATTTCCCAATTTACTTTGAAATAACCATACTTAGCTTGCTTTACCAGACATTTAAACTCTGTTAGCTAAATGAGCTATATAATATCCTTAAAGATCAACCAGAGAAGAGAAAAATCTCATCTTCATTATTGATTTAAAACCAAAACTTATTCTTTCAAAAGAGTAGTTTAACCTACTGAATATGTCTCTTATAAGATCTTCTTTCTTAGAAAGTAGTATTCCTTCTCTTCCATTCCTGAAATACTATTTCATATGCTTAGCAATTATGGACAGTTGTTTGCTGAATATCAATTATGGTAAGTTAGCTAAAATTAAATTACCTCTTTTGTTTATGGTACATGTAAAACATTCATATGGCCTTTCAAACTGAATATTCTTTGACAAAATTTTAAATTAATAAGGTAGAAAGGCAATCATGAAAGCTGAAGTCTCATGGTACACAGGCTATTTGTTAACTTGGACACCAATCAGGAAGGATAAAATTTAGGATGATGATCTTCCATTCACCAAACTGTGACCGAATTTGTATTTTAAAGTTGGGATTTCATAAATTCCCAAACATTTACTGGGAATATTCCTGTTTATCCAAGTATCATCTGGAAAGCTAAGAGCACTACTGAAAGCTCTTGTTATGTTCAGCAGTCATTGTGAAAATCTTCAATTTGTTCAGCAATTAACAGTCTTAGTTTCTACTTTTCAATTATATTTTGGAATAAAGTCTATAACCATAAACTATGCATTTTTTGTTGCTATCTCTTAAATTGTCATTTAACAGTGCACTGTACATATCATAGGGAAAAAAAGGGTAGCTTGAATTGATTTTTCTATTAATTCATTCACTTTGGTAGGCCAGTCCCACGGATTGTTTGGAGCATTGAAAGAAGCTCATGGACTCTTCAGCTCTTCCTCAGACTCAGGTCACTATTAGTCACTAATGCTGACAGAGATGTACTTTCTGATACATCATCTTTTCTAAGGTTCAAAAATGATTCTCGGGTTATTTGAAGGATCTCTCTCAAGCCTTTGTTTTCTTGCTGTAAGAAGGCAAACAAAAACAAAGATGCGGTCACCAAGGTAGCTAGCTACAAGAGCACAAATATATCTTAAGAAAAACCAAACATATAACAAATAAAAAGCAAGTTCTGTAACTGATAGAAATGCACTAAATGACAGAGGCAGTTAAAGTCGACAGCTTCAATCCAGAGAACACTTAATGAGGTAGGAATTATGTATTCAACATCTCCCATACCTGCAGTCTTCTTACTGCAGCTGTAATTGTAGACAGAATCTCAGAAACTGCCTTATTTTACCATCACAGTATAGATGAAGAAAATAATATTTAGATTTACATTTATATAAACTCAGAAAGTTGAGACTAATACCCTGGGATTAGAATCTCTTAGTACTTTACTGCTTAGTACTTTTATTACTTTCCATGATAGCATGGACTACAAGGCAAGCCATCTGGTTTGATTTCCTTACTGGAATCTGACAGCAGTAGGGCTGGCTGAGTAAACTGTGATGTTTTTCAAGGAGGAAAGTAAGTGACTAAATCTAGCACTGGTAAACAACTTTGCCCTTTTTTTGGTAGTTACTGTAAGAATGAGAGAACCGCCCTGGCTGGTGTGGCTCAGATGGTTGGAGCACTGTCCCATACACCAAAGGGTAGTGGGTTCCATCTCTGGTCAGGGCGCATGTGGGAGGCAATCGATCAATGTTTTTTACATTGATGTTTCTCTCTCTCTCTCTCTCCTGCTCTCTCTAAAATAAAAAATATTAAAAAGAATGAGAGAACCTTGTATGCTTAGAGAAATAATTTTTGGTCCTCTATAGCCAATTTCCTCACCATGATTTCAAAATGAAGCTTTTAAAGTATGAAAGTCTATTCTACTGATTTGGATTATTCAACAATGATTTATGCTTTCACTACACAAAATAAAGAACAATACTTTATGGGATATATTTTCTGGCATAAATCTGTATGAACAGTTTTCATCCACATTTACAATTTAAAACTTACTTCAAGTTGAAATATTCTTTCCTGTTCCTTACAACCCTGTTGCTCATCAATTTCAATGGCTTTCCTCATTACTGCTGCCATTTCAGTTATCTGGTCAACATGTGCTTGTAATTCCTGGAAAAAAGAGGTGGCAATTGTAAATTAGTGAAATACTGTATTATTTTTATTTTTGTATCCTCTCCTTTTTATAAGGACTGCATTGCCTCTTAATATGAATATAAGATTCATACATTGCCATTTAACATGAATGTAATATATCAAAAAGATATTAACAAGAAATCTGAATGACCATGATCGTGCTTTTGAAATCACATTTCTTTCAGGACTAGAATTAAGAATAAGAAGCATAATTTAACTAAATCCACTTGTAAGAAGAGGACTCATATTTTGCATTCCTCTCACTACAAATGATCAGCAACTTTTTCGTTTTGCACCTATCTATATACTATTGATCAAAATAATGGGAAAGATAAACAATTCTGACACATTCAATCTCTTTTCCCCAAAGTTTTCATTATTTATAAATCTTTTCTGTTTTACCCAGGCCTAAAAATTGATCTCAAACAACCTAGAACCTTTCTAGGTTGTAATCCTCTTTGATAGCAGAAACTGTATCTTGTTTATTTGCCTATTAGTGTTCAGTACATAATAGATAATAAACACTGAGTAAAATGAACATAGTTCTGCTCTTAAGTATTAAAATATTAAATGGCATTCTTTGCAAACTATTCAAAATATAATTTCAGTATAAAATAGACACCCACTAGTTTTGGTCAATCACATTCATTTTTTTGTGCGCACACCCACAATATGCCAGGCACTGTGCTAGACAACAAAAATATGAATTCTGTTAAGACATGTTCCCTGATTTCAAGGAGCTTACAGTCAAGTAGAAGATACAGACAAAACATTTAAAGTCAGCATAAACATTTAAAATCAGAATAAATTTCAAAAGAAAAGATTCTACAGACCATTGTTCACTGGCAACCGAGGGTTATTTTACTATATTAAGGCCAAAAGTTAAATATGAAAGTTAATAGCTCCCCAAGTAAACATTAAGTTTCTTAAATAGTTGTATATTTTCTATTTGTAAAAAGGATTTGAACAGGAACCCCCCCCCCCCAAACCTATAAACTAGTAAACTATGGAAGAAATAAGATGGAAAACAAATAGGAATATTTTTAGCAAACACATTTAATACCTGCTTAACTAACAAAAATGCAGGTCCTTATATTATTTTAATGGGAAAACCTATCCAATGCTAGGACACAGAAAAGGCAAAATAAAGATTTGAACTGTCCAATATGGTGCTATTTAAATTTATATTAATTAAAATAAAATACATTTTAAAAAATTAGCAATTCAGTCCTTCAGCTACACTGGTGACACTTCAAGTGCTCGAAGGCCATGTGTGGCCTGTAGCTTCCATATTGAACAGCGCAGATAAAGAACATTTCCATCATTTCAGAAAGTTCTGCTGGACAGACAGAATTAGATTATGGTAACAAGAATGAGATCAAGGCAAACATCTGTCATATTATGAAAAATGATCACAATCCCTCCCAACATAAAGGGAGCATATAATGTTTAAAAGTAAGTTAAGGACAGATAACTGCAGCGGCAAACTGAGTAATGGTAATGAGTAAAAATTTTGAATACAAATAACATTCTCAGTTTATGATTTGGTATTCTATGGGATGGACCTACGTTAAACAACTATACAGGAAGTAAATCATTCTTTGACTTTAAAATGGAAGAAAACAAGATACCACCATTTTTTCAAGAAAGAGTCTAGTTAATAAAATCATGATGAGAAAAAAACCCAATTCTTCAACTGGAACAGTATTTTTATAAGCCCAGTTCATGGATGGTTCCCTTATTACAATAAAATCTCTGGAGAAGTATCAAAGATCTTTTGCTGGGCACAAGAGGCCGAGGCCAAGACCGGTGCTTTCAAAACTATTAAAGGCAAGAAGTGTCAAAAAATAATACTTGAACTGTCTTGACATGCCTTTCACTTGGTAACTTTTGTTTAGGTTTATTTCAGCTTTGCTCAATAAAGACCGGCCACAAATAAGGTAAAAAAAGACAATTAAGACACAATGGAGAATATATCACTACAGTTAACACCTGAAAAGAAAACATTTAAATTTTATTGTAAACTCAAAACAAAGGGCTACAAATTGTCAAAAATATGAATTAAAACAGTTCACTGCATAATTTGATGGAACAAAATTTTTAAGAAATCAGATTAAAATTACTACCAAGGAATATCTTTGATGTCCAGAAAGAGAATAACTGTCTAAATTTGCGGCAACAGCTGATAGGAGCGACAAAATGAAAAGTTGGCCTGAACAAGCTTTAAGGCCTGCCATTATATAACAGGATGTGTATAACACAACACACAGAGAATTAATGGCAGATATTAAGTTTCTATACTGAATATTTTAAAAAGCACAGCATTTTAAAACTTAATTTCATTTATTTCCTGATTTAATCTGGCAGGAAAATTCAATATAGAAGAACTCTTTAAATGGATACCCCTTCCACCCATGCTCCCAAAATTGACTGTTTTATTTAGTGTACATTCTGATTTGCTTCCAAGCGCCTCCTCTCCAGTCCATGTTGAGGTGCTTCATGGATGTGTCGAGATGCATCAAGGAAGAATCCTTCGGAGTTGTTACGATGCACCATGTCAATCTGTAGTACAGAGTCATTATAATGTTAATACGGATATTATCCGTAATTTAAAAACTGAATGAGTGTTAGTTCATGCGTGTTAGCCAACTGTTTCAAATGTTTGCTTTTTTAAGATTTCCAAAAAGGCATCTGTTCAAAAATAATGAAAAAAAGTGAGCATTTGGATGAAAATGTGTTCTCACTTTGATTTTTAAGTGTGTGCTCAAAAACTTCTAGTGTTAAGAGCAAAATTCTATATTACAGTAGTCCTCAAAGGGTCTCTTACTTCAAATTGCTATTACATGTAACTCTGTTTGTTACCCCTAAATGTGTTATAAAATTATTTTGTGTTTAGGCACGTCAGAGCACTAGTACCTAAACACGTCCTCAATCTCCTATTTCTGAACCTTTACCATACCAGTTTTTCTGCTCATCCACTTCTGCTTCTTGCTCACCCACTTCTGCTTGTTCACACCTGACCTCCACTAATTAATTCAAAACTGAATTTAGATGGATATCTTCCTTTCCTTACACCTCCCCAGATGCTCTTCATGAGCACTAATCTTGCTTCCTCTAGTATTCCAGTAATAATTCATATCTCTATTTAGGATTCACCACATCCTACCTTATATCAGATAGTTATGTTTGTATCTGTATCTCTCATTACACTGTAAGCTCCTATGCAGGAATAATGAAACTTATTCATTCATCTTATTATTAATAAACAAACCAGTGCAAGTGTTAATAGATGTTTGTTTAATTGAGTCAAATTGTTTCCTTTTTGGGAAAAATCAAAATCACAAACATTAATATGTATTAGTTAGAATTAATAACAAGTCATTTTATGGAAGGCAAGGTTCGGCACTTACAACGAATTATTTAATTTACATAATGAAGAAAGATGATTTACAGCTATTTTAAGAAATGTTTCACTTTGCTAATTAATAAAACAGCTCTGGTGAATGGTAAAATCTAATGTATTTTAGAAAACATTTGCTTCTGTCATAGCTACTACCAGACAGGACTAGCAAACTGCAGGATCTTATTATAAGCACTTTTTTTTGGTCAGAGTATTCTTCTCTTTAGATCTTAAAATTTTTATTTCTTAGGTTATTAAGTATAAGGACTTCTGGAATTTCTCAAGATTACACTTTTTTTAAACCAGTAAGTTTAAGTCAATTCATATTTGTACCTTTAAAAAGAACTCTTAAGCCCTGGACAGTGTGACCTGGTGGTTAGAATGACAGCCTGTGCACTGAAGGGTCGTGGGTTCAATTCCTGGTCATTGGGTTGTAATTGGGTTGTAGGTTCGATCTCTGACCCCAGTCAGGGCACATGCGGGAGGCAACCAATAGATGTGTCTCTCTCACATCCATGTCTCTCTCTCTCTCTCTCTCTCCCCTCCTCCCTCCCTTCCACTCTTTCTGAGAATCAATGGAAAATATATCCTCAGGTGAGGATTAGTAACAAAAAAAAACAAAATAAAACTCTTAAGTTTTACATTAAATATAAATATTTTTATAATAATCTTAATAATAATAGATACATTTTATATTCAAAGGATTGCTACTTAAATATCCAACATTTTCCTCTTGGTTAGGAGATGAATATAGCATAATTAACACTAACCCATATTTATTAATTTACTATGTTACTACTTGACACAAGAGGTATCATTAACTTCCTCAATATGTGAAGTTGTCACACAAAATTCTACTTACTAAGTAATTTTAATGTAATTAATAATTTTAAAATTAATAATTTAAAAATACCTACAAACCTCAAGATCAGCAGTTCTCAATCCTTTCACAGGGGTCGCCTAAGACATAACAGTAGCAAAATTACAGTTATGAAGTAGCAACAAAAATAATTTTATGGTTGGAGGTCACCACAACACGAGGAACTGTATTAAAGGGTCGCGACATTAGGAAGGTTGAGAACCACTGCCCAAGATGGAAGAAACATTTTAGTGAATCTAAAATGTGTTTCAATAATTGATAAAGATAAAAATAGCTTATAACAATCAATATTTCTTAAATAATATTAGTTATAACTACTAATGGTTAGCTCACCATTCTCCATTATAGATAATGGTCTAGTAATCACAATCTATTCCAATATTTTTATTTCATACCAGCAGTTAAAATTCAGTTTAAAAAAGGTAAATTGTAAAGATCATTCTACTTGTCTTCACAGCAGTTGTTAGCAAACACAGGGACATACACAAAGGGAACAGACACAAGGATGACAAGTAAGACGAACAGAAGGAAAAACATAAATTTTTAACCAGTTCAGCTATCTCTAAAAATGATGTTCCTGATATGTGATTTGGGGGGAGGGGAGCAAAATTTTCATATGTTGGTTCTTTTTCTTGCCGTGACCCCATATTTTTTTCATTATAATCAAGATTATAGTTTGAATGAATCAGCTTTATTCAGAAAATAGTTTTATGAAAAACAAACCAACCTTTATCTGTGTTTAAATTTTTAAGAGTTTTCAGCATTTCAATACTTGTTTTTGCAACAGATGTCAATACACAAATCTATTAAAAGAAATATTTCTTAAAAGCAGACAAACTTATAAAAATAAATCTGAATTGAACACTTACCTTTATTTCCCAAATAAAGTTTACCTTTTAATATATACTAAATATATACTAATATATACTAATATATACCTTTTAATATATACTAAAGCTACTAGGAACAATGGGAATTAGAAGAGTAAATAAAACAAAATGATATATAACAAAAAATGAAAAAAAAATAAGGAAAAGAATAAAATGTCAAAAAGACGAAGCACTCAATAGCATATTAGATATTTAACATGTGTTTTAAAAAAAAAAACTGAACACAAGTTAACCAATTGTCCTTCTTTTCCATTTCCAATTATATTTATAGAATAAATTACCTTGGAGTGCTGCTCTTTTAACTTCATTATTATACCCGGATCATCTTTTTTGCTAGCCATTAGCAATCTAAACATCTGCTCACGATATTTGCTCATTATAAGTTCCAAGGCAGACTGATGTTCTTCCAAGGATGTACGTAATTCTATCAAGAATAACAGCATTTTTATTCAAACTTGAGTTAAAGATATACAAAATATTCTTTTCCATATTACATTTATTAATAAAGCAATTTATAAAGAGGATATTTAAAGAAGACCCGATGGATAAAAATCTAGCTGTATAGAAATAAGAGATACTAAATGGAATCCTTCATTAGTTTTTTAAATCACCATTTAAAACTCCTTTTTTTGAGAATCATACAAACATTTACTGAATAACAAGTAGGTATCAGATGATGCTCTATATTAGAATATCAAAAGGCTGTGGAGCTCAGAGTGTAGTGGAGAAAACAAATATATAAATAAGTATAATACAATGTGGTAAGTGCAGAGAGGAGCTCTACTCAAATATATATACATGAGAAGTCTGTGAGGAGAAACTGGTGAAAGCTTCACAGAAGTATGGTATTGAGGTGAACTTTCATTCCTTGAGTTGAAAAATAAAGGAAAGAACATTTTAAGTAGGGAGGCATGAACATGAATGGTATGTTCAGAAACTAGTTTGGAATGGCAAAAGCAAAGGTTTCATGGAGAAGAGAGGTATAGGAAGAAGAGAGAAAAGAAGGCTTGGAGTTGACTTTGAAGGCCACTGGATAAGGAAATAAGTATACAGTAAGTTCTCAAGGACACTGATAGGTTCTGTGACTTTAAGCAAAAAGATGTATAACAAAAATCTATTTTACCAAAGTCTAATTGATATAAACAGGAATTAAGTTCCTGCCGCATCGCATCAATATTATAACAAAACATTGAACAAAATGATGTTATTTGAGGACCTGCTGTACAATGAGGGTTCTTAGGCAAAAGAGTAATATGATTTTATATATATATATGTGTGTGTGTGTGTGTATGTATACACATATATACATATACATACACATATATATATATATTAATCCTCACCTGAGGATATTTTTCTATTTATCTTCACATAGAGTGGGAGGGAGAGAAAGGGGGAGAGAGGGAGGGAGAGACAGAGAGAGAGAGAGAGAGAGAAAGAGAAAGAAACATCAATGTGAGAGGGACACATTAACTGGTTGCCTCCTGCACAACCCTGACCAGGGCCAGGGATGAACTGCAACCAAGGTATGTGCCCTTGGTCGGAATCAAACCTCGACTCACTGATCCACAAACTGATGTTCTACCGCTAAGCCAGGGCTGATCATATATATTTCTGCAAAATCAATCTGAAGCCTGTGTTGAAGATGGATTGCAAGGAAAAAGAGAATGGAATCAGAGACACCAATTAGACCGCTCAGGAACACATTATGAACAGCTGAGGAACAAAGCAGTGGGATTGCAGAGAATGAAAATGAATTATTTCACAGGTAACAACAATGGCACAAATTAGATATTTACTGTGAGAATCTAAGATGACTCCAAGCAAGGCAGACATTCAAATGTAGGACAAAATAAAGGGCAATAAATATGATTTAGACATATGAGGTAGAGAAGAGATTAATGGCAAAAAGTAAATTTAGTTGATTGCTTTCCCACTTTTGACAATATTAATTGATCCTAAAATGATAGTACAATTGCAGATTAAAGTTCACTTTTGATTTGCTGTATGTAGTAATAATATATCTTGCCTTTGTTCTCTTGTTGCAATTCTCTGATTTGTCTGTTTTCTTGCTGGATTCCCATAACTAATGTGGACCGTGGCCGATGTCTTGCAACTTCATTAAGTTCTTGAATTTCTTCCTGATACTAATGAAAATGTTTAAAAAGAACATGTGGGAAGAAAATATTTGAAAATATAAATCTGAGTTGTGTATCTGATAAGGGTCTAGTATCCAAAATATATAAAGAACTTGCACAACTGAATAAGAAAAACAACCCAATTAAAAATGGGCAAATAAGATAAATAAGTTCTGGGGATCTAATATATAGTACAGCATGGTGACTATAGTTACCAATATTGTATTGAATACCTGAAAGTTGCTAAGAGTATAGATCTTAAATGTTCTCACCACAAACATGCAAAAGGTAATTATGTGAGTTGAGGGAAATGTTAGCTAATCTTATTGTGGTAATCACTTCACAATATATGTGTATCAAATTATCACATTGTACACTGTAAAGTTATACAATGTTTTATGTCAATTATATCTCAATAAAGCTGAAGGAAAAACTGGCAAAAAAAAGAAAAACCTGTCTCTTCAAAAGAGACACTGCTCTAAAGAAAATACACAAACGGCCAATAGCACATGAAAAGATGCTTAACATCATTAGTCATTAGGGAAATACAATTCAATAGAAGATACCACTTCGCAATTGCTAAAGACAAATAATAACAAGTGTTGGAGAGAATGTGGAGAAATTGTAACCCTCATCTACTGTTGATGGGAATATAAGATGTAACCACTCTGAAAAAGAGTCTGGCAGGTCCTTAAAAAGTTACGCATAGAGCTATTATATGACCCATCCATTCCACTCTCAGTTATACACCCAGGATAACTGAAAACATGTCCACACAGAAACTTGCACATAAGTATTCATAGTGGTATTATTTACAATAGCCAAAATATAGAAATAATCCAAATGTCCATCAATTAATGAATGATAGACATAATGTAACATATCCTTACAATGTAATATTATTTGGTAATAAAAAGGAATGAAGTACTGATACCTGCTACAATATGAATGAACCTTGAAAACACTGTTAAATCAGTCACAGAAAGGTACATACTGCAAGATTCTGTTCAGATGAAATGTCCAAAATAGGTAAATCCATCATATAGAATAGTTAGTGACTGCCAGGGGCAGGGGGGAGGGAGAAAGGGGCTTTGATGATTAGAATATTCTGAATTAGTGATTATGGTTGCACAACCTTCAAAAGGGTAAATTTTATGGTATGCAAATTATATCTCAATAACATGTGCAAAAGAAATGCAAAATTATTATTTCTTTTTTTAAAAATAAGTAGGACTCTAACTTTAAAATTGCACTCCTTTATTTTCAAGGCATTCTGATGAGCCACTTAATAACACAGTCATTATAACATACCTGGTTTTAAATCTGGTTATCAACTTTTTTCTTTTTTAAAGCTCAATACCTGATATATGTTCACTGGAATGCACGAGTCAAGCTGCACAGATAGGTAGGTATGTCATTTTTTTAGGGCAACAGAGTTGCAAAACAAACTAAGTAAACTTGTTCATGATTTTGAAAAAAGCAGTATCCAGAGTTGCTTCCTTTTATAAAATAAATAAGTTTCATGAGAGTAGGCTATGAATATACATTTTCCCCCACTGATTTCCATCATAATATCAGAGATTTTATACTTCTCTTAGAATTAAAAATTTTTATCAGAAGAGGGCTTAACTTAAAATGGTAGCTAAACTCCATGGCCCCCTGGAAAATCCTTATACACCACACTAAGGATAACAAGAAGTGAAGCCCTTTTCATTGCTTCTTTAACTGGCAGCATTAATGAAATATAATATAGCAAGTACACATGCAATAACTGCACTAGGTGTAAAAAAGATATTGCCCTGCATCATTTTAAAAGAAATTTACTGTTGCCCTGGCCGGTGTGGCTGAATAGTTAGAGCGTCGGCCCATGCACCAAAGGGTCTTAGGTTCGATTTCCAGTCAATGTCATGTACCTGGGTTACAGATTCAATCCCTGGCCCTGGTTGGGGCACATGCAGGAGGCAACTTCTCGATGTGTCTCATTCACATTGATGTTTCTCTTTCTCTCCCCCCCCCCCTTCACTCCCTCCCTTCCACTCTCTCTAAGAAAATAAAATTTTTTATTGTTAAATAACACCACCTAAGTACTTTTATAAAGAAGAGTATAAGTATTTCCACATTATAAAAATATGAGAGCAAAATGTGTCTATATTAGTAAATGACAACATCTGGTCTTTGTCAAATATATCTAGACTGAATAAATTCATATACTTTCTAAACTCAAATGTGTGTCTGTCAGAAAAAAGTGATCAAGCCTACAGGTTTTAGGCTATGTATATAATATATATATATTATACATATATCACCTGAACATAACAAGAAATTATAAAGTAAAACTGAAACATACAAGTCAAGCTACTTTTAGGAGAGAACATTAAAAAAAAAACAAAACTAAATAATAATTAAGCAGAAGTTAGTGATTCAAGCAATACATAAATGTCAATAGCTGCTGTTTAAAAAATGGAATCAATAAGAAAGAGAAAACCCAAACCTGCTTCATTGCTTCTACTCGCTTGTTGAGAGCGGTGGTCTGCTCAATCAGAGATTCTGCTGCATCGTCATGATCTCTCAGTCTTTCAACAAGAGCTTTAGCATCAGCAAGTGCCTTCTCAATTGTGCAACTCATTTCTAAAGGAATGCCTATAATTAAAATTAAAATCAAGACTCAAAACAAAGTAGCAAATTATGTTATTTTAGTTTCATGTTTACACAGATATGCTTCTGGAGCTACATTTGTTACAGGATTGTTCACAGCCTAGGGAGAAAAAACATCTAAGAATGCATGTAAAATACCCTAAATTTATGATAGTGAAAAAAGTACAAATCTAATGAATACATTTTATATTGTACAGAAATTGTGTTCTTCATGAGGACACTCCCTATCTTGCCATTTGTGAAAAATGTCATTTTATTAGTCTATATTCTATAGTCATTCTGACTATCCTTCTTAGCTTCTGTTTAGTCAGGTGATCTAAGACAATGTTCATACATACTACTGACCAGCCAAAGTGGCCTCTATGTCATGCTATATCAAAGTGTCAACCTTCTTCTGAAGGAACTTCTGCATTTTTTTTTTTTTTTTTTGGTTAATTCTCATCCAAGAATATTTTTCCATTGATTTCTTTTTAGAAAAAGTGGAAGGGAGGGAGGGAGGGAGGGTGGAGAGAGAGAGGGAGGGAGGGAGGGAAAAAAAATCATCGATGTGAGAGAGACTTATCAATTGGCTGCCTCCTGCATGACCCCAACCAGGGCCAGGGATCAAACCTGCAACCCAAGTACATGCCCTTGACTGGGAATTGAACCCTCGACCCTTTGGTCCATTAACTGACACTCTAACCACTGGCAAAACCAGCCAGGGCAACTTCTGCTTCTTATATGAAGTTGCATTATAGTCCTAACTCTTTCATTTTCCTTAGTAAATGGCAAAATAATGTTTGTTTTTAAAATGTGAAACTTGATAAAATATATGAACAAACAAAATGGCAATGAATACATATCTATCAACAATGGAATCTACAAACAAAATGAACAGATAGAACAGAAACATTCTCATAGATACAGAGAACATTTTGTTGGTTGCCAGATGGGAGGGGGTTTGGGGGAATGGGTGAAAAAGGTAAAGGGATTAAGAAGTACAAATTGGTTGCTAAACTGACAAACCTCAAAGGGAAAGGGGCTGAGGGGGTGGGAAGAAATAAACCAAAGAGCTTATATGCATAACCAATGGACACAGACAATAGTGTGGGAAAAAGTGGGAGGGAGGCGGGAGTGGGGAGGAGGGAGTCAATGGGGGAAAAAATGTGGAACATCTGTAATACATTCTACATTCAACAATAAAGATTTAAAAAATAAAATGTGAAACTTAAAAAACAATCTCCCCCTCAAATCATCAGCCTTTTCTCTGTATCTATGGGTATGTTTCTGTTTTGTTTATTGTTTTCATTTTTTTAAAATTTCACATATAAGTGAAATCATATGGTTGTTTGTCTTCCTCTGTCTTATTTCACTTAGCATAATACCCTCTACGTCCATCTACGTTGTCTCAAATGGCAAGATTTCATTCTTTCTTATTGCTAAACATCCATTATATAAACACACACAACACACCACTTATTCTTTATCCATTCATCTATTGACGGACATCTATGTTGCCATATTTTAGCTATTACTAGCAATGCTGCAATGAACATACGATGCATATATCTTTTTGAGTTAGTGTTTTGTTTTGTTTTTGGATAAATTCCCAGAGGTGGAATTGCTGGATTGTATGACAGCTCAATTTTAATTTTTTGAGGAATCTCCAAACTGTTTTCCCTAGTGGTTGTACTAATTTACAATCTCAGCAACAATAATCCCTTTCTTCCAAATCTTGTCAGCAATTATTATTTTTTGATTTATTGATTATAGCAATTCTGACAAGTGTGAGGTGATATTTCCTTGTGGTTTTAATTTGTATTTCCCTGATGCTTAGTAATGTTAGGCATCTTTTCATATGTCTACTGGCCATCTGTATGTCCTCTTTGGAGAAATATCTGCCCATTTTTAAACTAGATTGTTTGTTTGTTTTTTGTTTTTTTGGTGTTAAGTTGTATGAGTTCCTTATTTTGATTTTTTTTATAACATTTTATAACATTTTTAAAAATTGATTTTAGAGAGAGGAAAGCTGAGAGAGAAACATTGATTTTGTTATTTATGCATTCATTGATTGACTCTTACATGTGCCCTGATAGGGATCAAACTTGCACCCTTGGTATATGGGGATGTTGCTCTAACCAACTGAGCTGCTCAGCCAGGGCTGAGTTCCTTATATATTCTGAATATTAGCTCCTTATCGGGTATATTATTTGCAGATATCTTCTCCAATTCAGCAGGTTGCCTTTCATTTTGTTGATGGCTTCTGTTGCTGTGCAAAAACTCTTTAGCCTGTTTATTTTTTGTTTTGTGCCCTTGCCTGAGGACACATAGCCAAAAAGATATTGCTAAGAAAAATATCAAAGAGTTTACTGCCCATGTTCTCCTTCAAGAGTTTTATGTTTTGGGGTCTGACATTTAAGTCTTTCATCCATTTTACTTTTTTCATTTTTATTTTTTATTATTGAATTTAGGAAGGGAGGGAACAGGGGACAGAGGGAGAAATATCGATTGGTTGTCTCCCTATGTGTCTTGACCGGGGATCGAACCCACAGCTCAGGTATGTGCCCTGACCTTACAGTGCATAAAATGGTGCTCCAACCACTGAACCACACCAACCAGGACTCTTTCACCCATTTAGAGTTTATTTTTGTATGTGGTGTAAGAAAGTAGTCTAATTTCATTTTTTTGGATGTGTCTGTCCAGTTTTCCCAACACTACTTATTGAAGAGATGAAGGATTTGTCTTCTAAGATTTGAGAGGTTTAGGTAAGAGTATTTGAAAATACTCTTACCAGCCCCTGGGCTGGTAACGCAGTTGATTACGGTGTCATCCCCACACCCCAAGGTTGCAGGTTCAAGCCCCAGTCAGGGCATAAATAACTGGAACAACAAATCGATGTTTCTCTCCTCTCTCTCTCCCTATTCCTCTCCTCTCTCAAAAAAAAAATTAAAAAAAAATCAATAAATAAAAAATTAAAAAGAAAATATAAGCAAAAGGATCATTAAAGGAATCAATGTCCCATACTGACTAAAACACACACACACACACACACCCCAACAATCCAAAATCTGTCCAAGATACTGCTACAAGGGAGATATGAGCATTCAACAATGCCTTGTCCTTCCTCTAGACTTCTACAGGGAATTATCTAAAAGAAGGTGTAGGGCCAATTGCCTTGTAATAAGTAAGAAAAAAAATTAAAAACAGAAAACATACTTGTTTTACAATAAAAATAACTGATCATTAATACATACTAAAAGGAAATGATAAAACAAACAAACAAACAAAAACCCCCACCAAATCTGAAAGTCTAGAGAAAACTCAAGTAATAAAAATCTCTAACAATCCCAGGTCCCGACCTATAAAAGATATTATTAGGACCACTGTCAGAAGAATACTTCTTTATGCTCTGTAACACGACATCTACAAATCTAATAAACATTGTTTCCAAATAAAATGCTCTAAGGCTCCCACATATGATCAGATGATAGGTGATTTAGACATGACCTATACTGTTTAAAACTCAATTAAGTTGCCAAAAATAAAAATAAAAAAAGGCTATGCTCCCAGAATCCTCTGGGCAAAAGAATCTCCATAGGCATAAATTAATTGGAACAGAGCCCAAATCTAGATGAAGCCTTCCTAGATAATCATAAATCTTTCTTTTGGAAATATGAAAAAGTTGCTGTGTTCTGGGGATATTAACATACCTAAGGCTTACTGCCTATTAAATCCTATGCCTTAATTCAATAGCTAAGACTTAGCCTCCTTCCCTCAGAGTAGTAACAGGCCTCCACTAAATTAGTTAAATCATCTTTAGAGTTTATACTAGGTCTTTAAGCCTAATGTTACCATATGTAGAAAATCCCTGTTGCTAAAGGAAACCACCCTAAAATTTTATTAGTTGAATAATTACAAAATATTGTTACTTTCTCCTTTTCACATTATCAACCACTGGTATAACACTGTTACTCCAACTACCCTGCCTATTAAAAGAAAAGCTCATGATTTTGTTTCAAAAGTGTCCAAGGCCAAATTTTAAATTTTCTACTACAACAGCTTGACTTTATGGTCTGTTAATGGGTTTTATATTAAATATAAAAGTGACAATATCTGCCTTAATATTCATAGGTACTTCAGTCACTCTGATAAAATTCAAATTCTTACCAAACTGATCAAATGACTTAACTGTAGCCTTCTAAGACACAGCAACTTGCTAACACAAAAGAGTAAACTTACACAATAATAGCTGGATCATTTTAGGAATAAACCATTTCTTTGAAATACTGCAAAGAAAAGACATTCCTCAGATATCCCTTAAAAACAACAAATACATTACTTGATGGCTTGCTACTACCTAAAATAATAAAGGTAGAGACATACAGTAAAAAATACTATACAAGATAGTTTACTATACTGTAGATACTATTATTTATTATTATTTTAAAGAATATGTTTTCATTGATTTTTTTAGAGAGAGGAAGGGAGAGATAGATAGAAACAATGATCGATGTGAGAGAGAAACATTGATCGGCTGGCTGCCTCCTACACTCCCCCAACTGGGGATTGAGCCCAAAATCCAGGCATGTGCCCTGACCAGGAATCAAACCAGGACCTCTAAGTCCATGGGACAACACTCAATCCATTGAGCCATACTCCAGGCACTATAACTATTTAAAACAATTTTTTGTTTGTTAATCTTCACACGAGGACATTCTTCCACTAATTTAAGATAGAGTGGAAGGAAGGGAGGGGGAAAGAGAGAGAGAAACATCGATGTGAGAGAGAAACATAGATTGGTTGCCTCCTACACGACCTGACCAGTGTGGGGATCGAACCTGCAAACCAGAAATGTGCCCTTGACCAGGAATCGAACACGTGACCCTATGGTCCACAGGCAGATACTCTAACTGCTGAGCCAAACCAGTCAGGGCCTATGTAACTATTTTAAAATAATAAACAGACTGCTTTGATTAAAAGTCCGTATTCAAAGGCCTCATATAAAA